TGAGGTGAGACCCGCCCGCCGCGACGGTGGCGCCGCTAGGCGGTCAGAATTGGGGAAATTACGGACCGGGACGAGGGCGGTAAAGAAAAAGCAATGAATGAATCGGTGGTTGCTTAGGTTGGACAGCTTAGTGGCCAGTTTGAACGTTTCGAAATTGCAAACTAAAATGCGGTTTGTTTCTCGCTTGTGTGATCTAGTTTCTGTACTTTTACTTTCAACTGTACATTCATTGTGGTCGCATTCGGGTCTATCATCCTCAGCCGTTACCCGCTACCAGTTTCACCATCTGCGTCCCACCTCCCTGTCCCATTTCATGGTGACGGAGCTGACCATTGCCCGTTCAACACCACAGGTGCAGCAGATGAAGGCTCAGGCCAAGGAGGAGAAGCAGGCCCGCCAGACGGAGCGCCAGAAGCTGCAGCGCGAGATCGCCGCCCGCGAGGAAGCCGAGCGCAAGCAGCGCCAGTACGAGGACCGTCTGAAGAGCATGCAGGAGGAGATGCAGCACCGGCAGCAGGAGCTGCAGGACGCTCAGGAGACGATCCGCCGCCTGGAGGAGCAGCTGCGCGCCCTGCAGGCCGCCAAGGACCAGCTCGAGAGCAAGCAGAACGAGCTGCAGGTGCGAAGGAAATGTGGGGATGTCGGGAGGGGAAGGAGAAATAATTATGAATGCAGGTCCGTTTGAGGGTTGAGTTGATAATGACCAACCAGGATATCACTATCCGCCTAGTGATTTTATGACAAACACTCATTCAGATAGGTATCCAGTTATTTAACTCACTTCATTCGTGGCAGTGCTGTCAGGTTTTGGTGTGCGCCTGTGATGGACGTTCCTAGTTGCCGTTCCATCTGGTGTCCTTTCATTGTGTTTCACGCATTATTGTCGCTTTACCGTCTGACTGACTGTTCCTCCTTGTTCTGCAGGCGATGATGGTGCGCCTGGAGGAGGCCAAGGAGATGGAGGCGGCCGAGAAGGCCAAGCTGGAGGAGGAGATCCGGCTCAAGCAGGAGGAGGTGCAGACCATCTCGGCCGAGGTGCAGTCCAAGGACGAGGAGACGCGCCGCCTCCAGCAGGAGGTCGAGGAGGCGCGCAAGAAGCAGCAGGAGGCCGCCGAGGCCCTGCTGGCCGCCAGCACGCCCAACCACCACCACGTCAACGACCACGACGAGGACGAGAACGATGAGCTGGCCAACGGCGACATCAGCCGCGACCTGGGCAACGAGGACGACGGCAGCTTCGAGGACCCGGTCAACGAGCGGCGCACGGCCACCGAGAAGAACGAGCGGCTCCAGGAGCAGCTGCTGGTCAGTGACGGGGAAAGGGAGGGGAATGGGAGGGGAGAGCGGCTCCAGGAGCAGCTGCTGGTCAGTAACGGGCCGGAGGGGTGGGGGAGCGGGTTAGAGTGGGAGGGAAACAAGGTGGGGAGGAGAGGAGGAGCGCAGTGGGATGCGAAGGAGCGAGCCCAGAGACCTCAAGCTTGGCGCAAGTCGGGAGGGGGTAGGCGCCTAAAAGGGAAGACCAACACGGGAAGACTGTGATCTTTGAGTCTTGGTTCTGCACTGGCACATAGCTGTACCCGGGCTTAGTAGGCCTCGGCAGTAGAGGCATAGTGCCGCTGTGCGTAGCGCCCCATCCCCGTTCCCTAGTCAGGCTATATGGCCAGCCTCTCTGTCCCAGCCGCCCCCGCAGTCCGATCCCCACGTGTATAGTCTATCGCTCCGCTCCCGTGTTACGGATCTTGTGACAGCCGTCACGGCCCCTAGTCCACTGTGCGTACGTCACATGTGACGGGGGAGCTGTCAGCGCCGGCCGACCGTCAGCCCCTCACCCCTGACAGCCAACTGACTGCCACGCCCGGCCTTGTGCGCGTGTGTGACGCGACAGCGGCGATGACACAATGATTGGGATGATGGGACTGCGGTTTGGGATGGGATCGTGGTTTGGGTCTTTGATTGTGCGAGGGTACCGTGTTGCCTAACGCGGGCCGTAAAACAGGGGTGGATCAGGTGACCAGCGTGCAAAGGGAAAAAGACGTGACATGCGATTCTCACAACGGCACCTCATCCTTTACTTGTCTTTTATCAAGCAAGTTTTCTAGGTTAGTCGAGCTATAATTTTCAAATCATTGTAGTCGCTTTTCTGACGTCAGATTCTGTGCCTATGTGCTAAGTGCGATCAACTTTGGGCCCAGTAACAGGCAGTGAGCTCGCCGTTTTCTCTCTCCCCCGTCCGTCACTCGCCGACCTTCTGTCCCGTGACAGCCGTGACGGCTGCTGCTCCCGTGACGCGCCGTCACCGGTGGTGACCGTCAGGTGCCGGGTGACGTCACGGCCGCCCAGATCCGGGAGGGACCCCTATCTCCGTGGGGAGACCGGCTGTGTTGATGTTTGTTGTTGACGTTTACTCTGCCTACCGGTCTGAGTCACACTGGTCATAGCTGTGGCTGGGTATCAGTTTGTCATGGGATGTGTGCAGCTACCTGCCGTTTCCTCATCTGTTATGTAGTTCGTAAATGAAGGTTTACGTTTGCGTGAACAGCGTGACCATTTTGCTCCCATTTCTAACTTTGTATGCATGTCATCAAATGTAACTTTCTTCGGTCACATTTCCATCGTTGCGTACTCATTGCTGACAGAAGTCTCTAAAATGGACTGATGAAGGATTTGCCCCCCATTCACCCAACCCCTCTGATATTACTGACACTCCCCGTCACCGATCCGCAGGCCCTCAAAGACGAGCTGGCCGAGACCCGCGACGACTCCAAGGAGACGCAGATGGACAAGCTGCACAAGGAGAACGTCAAGGAGGGCAGGGACAAGTACAAGACCCTGCGCGAGATCCGGAAGGGCAACACCAAGCGGCGTGTGGACGCGTTTGAGAACATGTAGACGGTAGGAGCCGCGGCGCCCGCCGCCGCCAGCGCCTGCCGCCCCGCCCCGCCCCGCCCCGCCGTGAGACCGGGCGGACTACTTAGCGGCGTCGGCCGCCCCGCGCCGCCCCTGCCGCCGCCGCCGCTGCCATCGTCATCTGGTCAGCGGTGCGCCCGTACCGAGCAGTCTTCCGCGGCGCCAGCGGCGGCGGCCGGCACCGAGCCGAGAGCGCGGCGCGGGCGAGAGTGTACAGACAGACGCAGCGAGAGCGAGCGAGCAAGAGTGAGAGGGAGCGAGCGAGTCCGTGAACGAGTGAGCGAGTGCCGGAGAAGATGCGCGCGCCCGCGATACTTCCGCCCCTTCCGGTCCTGTAGCACCCGGCTAAGCGCGCGCGCAGAGCCGCTCTCGGAATTGCCGCTTCGTGCGAGCGGCTCAGGAGAAGCCGCCGAGGCAGGGCGCCCCCGTTTTGAGGATGTCTTTACCAGCTGAGCGAGCACCGGCCAGGATAGGTCGCTGCGATCGCCCCGGGTCTTCATACGGCCGTCCGAGCCCGCGTGTGTTGTGGATACATGTTACAGTGAGATGTATTTTCCATTGGAGTTATCTAATCGTTATATAAAAAGTGCCTCCGGTCTCTGTGCCGGGCTTCGTAACGCGGGAATAAATGCTATTTTGGAGGTGTTTTGCTGTTCCCTGGTGAGACTGGTGGTGTGTGGAGGGTTAGCGGCGGGGAACCATGGCTGGCTGGTATGTGCGTCACTCTACTGCCCCTGTCACCGACTGCTTGTTCAAGCAGATGTGTCAGTCAGCGGCCGCCGCGCCTGGGTCGGGGAGGACGGCCTTCGCTGACCCGTGCGGAGGCGGCGGCTGTCAGTCACCTAGTGGTCAGGTGGCCTTCTAAACGCCGGGTAGAGGGCGGGTTGAGGTCGGCGTCACTGTCTTTTGGCGTCATTTGATAGTTGGTACCCACGTGCGGCCTGTGCCCTCCCCCTGATGACTGCAGGGACATACACATGATACTCCCTGGGAAAGGACACAATTTGCGCGAGGTAACGAATTATTTCATAGGTTACGCGCCACGCGGCCGCCAGATCTGAGCGGTGGATACAGACACATTCGATGCGGACTGAGGACAGCATTGCGGCGGGGGTTGCAGTAACCCCGAAGGGGTCATGATGACTGGGATGACCTTCGAAAGGGGGTGGGGGGTCATCGCTGGCCGTTCAGTGACAGTTGCCATTTGACACTGGCCGGGACCGAGCTCCTGACACTCCAGGCAGCGGCCCTTCTAAGCGTCAGGTCGCAAAGACAACATAGTTCTGTTCTAATGTGGTATAGCGATGAATCTACGCAACGATACGCACGCCACGCATGTAAACTAAACACGATGCCAGCGTTCCCTTCCGCACTACGTCATGATGTGGTGCCCTTTAGTGTCCCTCGGTTGTGAACAAAGTCGCGGTATGTCACAATCGTCCAATACGTTAGCAGTGTTCAATGTGGAAATATTTTCAGCTTCTTGTCGACGGCAATACGGATAAGGATGAGATTATTTTAATGATAAGGGTTGGCAATGACTAATCTGAATTACAAAACAGCAGACAACGGCAGCCAAAGATGCGGTTATACATAATAACTGTTTTGTAAAGTTGTAAAAGGTAAATGGCACATCGATGTGTTACACCTATGGATCTCCGTTCACAGACACGACCATTGAGATGAAACCCGTCCCCCATACCGTTCTTCGGCCCTCGTCCGACTGGCCATGTCCCATGTCTGGCCAATTTTTGCCCCCTCTGTGATATGTCCCGTGGCCAGTCTGTTATGATACTGAAGTGACCTTAGGTCACTGAGGTGACCTGATGACACTGGCATGTCCTCTTTCTAGATGACTGCCCGGCCCAGCCCTGTGCCTCCCTGTGTTATGAAACGCAGACAGGTCTGCCGGTGTAGTCCGGCTGCTTTTCTGTGTAGACAGGTCTGCTGGCCTCCCTTCTGCCACTCCGAGCTGCAGAGGTCCGGCCACGAGCCGCCGCTACGCACAGCCCGCCGTCGTGTCGGCCTCGGCCGGTCAGCGGCCGCACGCAGGTGACATTTGCTGCGTGGCGCAGCGGGGGCGGACGTGCGTGGGGCCCACGCACCTGCGGCCCCATAAAAAGCGGCACCGGAACCCCAGAGTCGCCACAGTCCCGAGTCGTTCCCGGGTCGCAGCCAGCCGCCGCACTCCGTCCTCCCAGCCATCACCATGAAGTTCGTGGTGCTGCTCGCAGCGGCTCTCAGCGTCGCCTCTGGTAGGTGCAGTTCGATCAGGCTCGGCGCCGTTCTGCTGAAGCTTTATCTATCAGATATTCGTGACCACTTGCATGGTTTGCATCTACGACGAGTTAAAACTCAGCTAGGCTTATGTTCTTTGATAGCATAATGACCTAAATCATAAGCCTATCTAACCATAAGCTAGTCGGTGCCCACTCTAAGTTGAATCAATCTAGCACCTGACAGTATGGAACAATATCTTCAATGTGGTATATATTGTGCAGTGCGTCGTGATGTTCTCCCAGTCCAGTCTCTCACAGTTTTATGATCGACATTGTGCTTTGCCGCAGCGGTGCCTACTGGATTCGTTCGCCCGAACCCGGTGCGGACCACTACCACGACCACTACGACGACCACCACGACGCCGGCTCAACCCGAAGGCCTTGCCACTGAGACGAAGGCGCTGGCCGGCGGCAAGCTGAAGACGGTCGGCAACGCACTGGCGCAGGTGGCCGGCGGCTCCAACACCGTGGAGCGCCAGGAGTCGCAAGAGAGCGCCGCCAACGCGCGCGTCCAGATCGACGCGCAGCGGGCCGCCATCGGCCAGGCGAAGGCTGCCTCCAAGGGCCGCTCGGACGTGCTCAGCCAGGCTAACAGCGAGCAGGCCAGCAGTGACACGCGGGCGGCGGCGCGCGGCGTCAGCGTCGGCGAGGCGCGCACCCAGGCGGACGCCAACGGCGCGGCGGCCACCCGCGGCCGCGGCACCAAGACCGACGGCAACAGCGGCATCAGCACGGCCACTGAGAGCGACGGCGCCAGCAGCGGCCTCAGCCAGGCGCTGGGCACCGCCTCCCGGCAGACGGTGGGCGGCGTGTCCGAGTCCCGCGCCGACACCATCTCCGGCACCAAGGGCCAGTCGCGCGGCAGCGCCGGCGTGGCGGGCGCCGGCCGCGCGCGCAGCGCCGCCGTCCAGGCCAACACCACGGCCCTCTCCGGCAGTCAGACCAAGGTGGACGTCATCGGCGACGGCAGGGCCACGGCCGCAGAGGCCGGCGGCGCGCTCGGCCAGTCGGGCGGCTCGGCCTCCAGGCGCGCCTCGCGCACCGAGGCGGCCAACAAGGGTGAGGTGGAGACCCGCGGCGACGGCGCCGGCGCCGTCGGCGAGTCCAGCTCCAAGGCCACCGCCACCGAGTCTGGCACCAGCGCGGCCGAGTCCTCTGCCAACAACCGGCTGGCGGCCACACGCACCGGCCGCGCCGAGACCAGCATCTTCACCGAGGGCGGGTCCACGCTCGGACTCGACCAGTTCTCCGGCGACGTGGTCGGCGCCGTCAAGTCGCTCACCTCTGGCAGTCAGAGCTCGCTGGGCAGCGCCAACAGCAAGGTGAACGCGGCCAGCTCGGCGCAGAACGCGCTCGGCGGCGGCGCCGCACTCGGTGACAGCACGTTCCGCGCCCAGACCTCGGGCACCGGCGCCGTCTCCGGTACTCTGGAGACGCGCGCCCAGAACCGGCTCAAGGCCGACGCCCAGCCGGCCCAGCTCAGCCTAGTGGAGCGCATCAGACAGCAGCAGCAGCAGAAGGAGGCCGAACAGGGCAAGGGCTCCGTGCTGCCCTCTGCCGGCAAGGGCAAGGGGCCGCGGCCGACCCAGCCGCCGCCGCCGCCCACCCTGCCCAGCCCGCCCAGAGGCAAACACTAAACCACTGCCAGCAGCCGGAACAACGACCGATTCAGACATCTGCGCGTCAACCGACATAACTGCATGATTCTTGCCGCATCATACCGATGCCCCTATGTTTTCTTCTTGTAATCAAATAAAAATGTGCCATCTCGAGCATTTTTGTAACTTTTTTTTCTCTCTAGAAAGGGACACGCTAGGGTCCTGGTAAGAGCGTCTCCAACGCTCCTCCCGCCTTCCTACGGCATCGGTAGCGTTATGATCACCATATCCATTACTGGTCGGTTCACCATCACTCTCCCTCCCGTCCGTCAATTCTCGGCAGTTGCCGGTGCACAGCGACACCCGTGGCCTGGTGACCCATGGCACCTGGGTGACCTTCCTGTCCCTGGCACGGACGAGTTGACAGCCGCCGCCCACACACCGTCCCACAGTAAATAAAAGAGGCTCGGAGGGGGTCGCGTGCCGCCAGTGCCCCCGGCCGTCGTCACCGAACGTCCGCCATGCACTGCTGGATCTTGGCAGTCGCCTGCCTCGGCGCCGCCGCAGGTAAATAGGCTGCTAGCTCCTCCAGACATCTTCCCCGCTGATGGTTGCAGAAGTCGAGTGAAAAATAAAAAGATATTTCATAAAAACAATGATAAGCTTCTAAACTCCGGTATCTGAAAACGAGATCCATTTAGGAGATACACTAGAGTGAGGAGTCAGAGAATACCACCTACCTAATTTACGGAATGTCTTGAGCTGGACAGCGTAACCATCATAGAGACCAGATCAAAGGAAACTAGACTAATTGCCCCAGTATTGCTACACTTCTAGCATATTTCACAGAGATATAATACGAATAGTACCGAGGGCGAAAACCATGTTTCCAGAATCCCGTATGTGTGTGGAGAATGCGGTACAATAAACGCGATGCCTCCTTACAGCGGCGCCGTGTATCAACTGCGGGGTGCGCGGAGTGGGCCCGCCTGCCGGCGCTGTGGTGGTTGGTCCGCCGCCGCCCGAACCCGTCTTAGTTGAGAAGCACAGCCTCGGCACGCGCACCAAGGCAGACGTCTCCGGCACCATCATCAGCACCGGCAACGCCAAGGCGGTGGTGTCCGGCGGCTCGCGCGCCACCCAGCTGCTGCCCGACCAGCGGGGCGGCGCCGCCGCGCGCGTCAAACTCTACACGCAGCGCAACGGGCTCGGCTCGGGCAGCGCCGCCTCGGTCGGCCGCTCAGACGTGGACGCCGGCCTCAACGCGTCCAGCAGCCAGGGCGACGCCATCACCGAGACACGCAGCACCGGCGAGGCCACCACCGAAGCCGACGCCACGGGCAAGGGCGAGACGCTCGGCGAGGGCTCGCGCACGGACGCCAGCGGCGGCTCCAGCTCCGCCACCATCAGCGACGGCTCGTCGGCCGGCGCGGCGCAGACGGTCGGCACCGCCGGACAGGCGCCGGGCATCGGCACCGACGCCGGCTCCGGCGCCGCCTCCCACGTCGAGTCGAGCGGCTCGGGCGGCTCGCGAGCGGCGGGTCGCGGCCGCGGCGCCGCCTTCGGCAGCGACACCACCTCGCTGTCCGGCAGCCAGACCCGGTCCGACGTCATCGGCGACGGCCAGGCGCGCTCCGTGGAGACGGGCGGCGCCGCCGGACAGAAGGGCGACGGCATCAGCCAAACCCAGGCCACCTCCAAGGGCACGGTGCACACACTCGGCAACGGCGCCAGCGGTGACGGCGAGACGTCGGCCAAGGGCACGGCCGGCACCAACAGCACCACCTCCTCGGACTCCACCGCCAGCAACCGACTCAAGGCCACCCGCGGCGGCGTCGCCGAGTCGGACGTCTTCACCACGGGCCTGTCCGAGCTCGGCATGGACTCCTTCACCAAGGGCCTGGCGGTGAAGACCAAGTCGGTGACGTCGGGCGAACAGACCACCGCCGGCAGCGCCAGGGCCAAGAGTAACGGCGCCAGCGCGGTGGGCAGCACACTGCTGGGCGCCGGCGCCGCCATCACCGACACCACCTTCCGCGGCGAGAGCGTCACCGCCGGCAGCATCAAGGGCGCGCTGCAGTCGTCCGGCGTGGCAGGCGTGGCCGACGGCCAGCCGGTGGTACAGGCCGCAGAGCCGGCCGCCGACGCCGGCAACACGGTGGTCGTGGTGGATAAGCCGGCGACGTCCGAGACGCCCGTCGTGGTCGCGCAGCCCGCCCCGGCCCCGGAACCCTATGTGCCCCCCGTCCCCGCTCCGGAGCCATATGTGCCTCGGCCCAGACCTGAGCCATACACACCTCCCTACAGCCACAAGCAGAGTACTGGGCCATACATACCACCCTACGCCCACAAGCAGAGTCCTGAACCCTATACACAACCCTATGTGCCTAAGCAGAGTCCTGAGCCATACGTGCCACCCTATGTGCCTAAGCAGAGTCCTGAGCCCTACACACCACCTTATGTGCCTAAGCAGAGTCCTGAGCCCTACATACCACCCTATGTGCCTAAGCACGATCCTGAGTCATACACACCACCCTATCCGCCTCGGCGACGCACCTACAGAAATGAGTCCTACAAGCACCACAAGCGGACCGAATACGCAGCGACGGACCCGAACGGATTTTAGTCTTTCATCCTTCACCTGACAGCATTGCATTTGCATCGAAGACACTGGCACGACACGTGTGCCTTGCTATCATGTAACCAAGTTTGCAAATAAATAGTTGTATTGTCAGTTGACGGCACGGATGTCCTCCTGTCCCCAGTCAGCGGCTAGTGGTGACGCGAGGCGGGTCGGAGTGGTCAGATCAGGTATTTGGCCCCAGACGGAGGTATTTGACCGAGTTAAACCTTGGTAAAACAGGCATGTCATCATTATCAACTGAGATCGTAGATTTCTGGTCATTAAGCTTTCAGAAGGCGATGGGTAAGCGCAACAGAGGGCTCAAGAGGACGTCACATGTGTGGGCACGTTGGCAGTTTTCATGAACAACACAATCAGCCCGTATTGACACCACAGTTACATATATTAAATGAAACACTGATCAGGTACAAATTGAGTTCCAGTAAGGGTACGTTTGTTTAATGTTAACTCTGCTCGAATTCGACTCGCGATCGAACTCAGGCTGGATCGTCGACGTCCGCCTCCGTCTCTGCCGTCGTGCCGGCGACTGCGGGCGCACGGCGCGGCGCCTTCTTCGGCGCGCCTCGGGCGTGGCTCTTCATGTGCTTGTTGAACGCCGACCGATCGGCGTAGTTTTTGGAGCAGCTCTGGCACTGGTAGGGCCGCGTGCCGAAGTGCCGGTTCAGGTGCTCGGTCAGCGCCTGCTGTCGCGGGAATGACTTATCGCACTCGGTGCACTTGTGTGGCTTCTCCTTCATGTGGCTGCGCTTGTGACGGCGCAGGTCGCTGAGCACGTCGAACGCTGCAAAGCATATTTCACAGGGGAAGCGCTTTTTGCCCTCGTGCCGTCGCTTGTGGTCCTTCAGACCAGCCATCTGAACGAACGTTTTGCCGCAGAGATCGCAGAGGTAAGGCCGTTCGCCGCTGTGGTACTTCATGTGGGTGTTGAGGGCGCCCAGCTGGACGAACCGGGCCGAGCACACGGAGCACTGGTAGGGCCGCTCACCCGAGTGCAGCCGACTGTGTATCCGCAGGTCCTTGCGCTCGGCGAACCGCTTTCCGCAGTCGGGACACTCGTACGGCCGCTCGCCCGTGTGAGTCTTCATGTGGCGACTCAGGTTACAGAATCTCGTGAAAGTTCGCCCGCACTCGATACAATTGAGGCGTGTGTGAGCCACAATGTGCGACCGGTACAGAGACTTAAGATGAAAATCACTATTACACTTACAGCACAGGAATTGTTCACTATAAATAGCGAAATGAAATAGGAACGCATTGAAATTGGGATACAAGTGTTGACAAATGCTACAACGATACTCGTAGCCATCGCCCTGAGAGTTGGCGTCCAACGAAGAAGCTTTTTGTTTGGTGAAGAAGTGCACCACGGCGGTACCTCCTTTGTTCCTTGTGAACGAGAGGTAATTCTGGTAATCAAGTTCGTCAATTCTGCCAGCCTCAGCCAAGTTGATCCTTTGTATACCACCGGTGGCGGCAGCGGACGAATCCGCAGTCATTTCTTCATCACGATGTTCATCGGGACGACTAGCGCTTGGGTCCGGCAGAGGGTCCATGACCCCTGGATCGGGCTCACCGCTATCCAGCTCGAGAGCTCCTTCCGCTGCCAGGGGCTCGTCTGCCAAGCCGGTATCGGCTACCGGCTCTGGCACGGAATTGTCCAGCACCTGGCAAGTACCGAGGCCGGCATACTCGTCCATGACGGGCACGGCGAGCTGTTCGCCACAGTCGGACGACTGGCCGCCCAGGTAGCAGTCGATGATGTCGGGCCCGGCGCCGAGCACGGCCACGCGGCTCTGCTTGTGGGCGACCTCCAGTCCGGCGCCGTCCAGCTCCGTCCGCTGGATGATGAAGCCCCGCGGGGCCGGCGGCTGGTGGCCGGCCGGGGCCGCCGCGGCACCGCGGGAGCTCTGCAGCAGCATCCTGTTCTCCCGCTCGCACAGCTGCGACTGCAGCGCGGATATGTCGTCGGCAGAGCTGTTGACCACATCCTGCAGGTTCTCCGAGATGACGTTCCAGTACTGGACAGCCTTCAACTTGTCCTCAGTGGACATGGACCGAACAAGAGAGATGGCCTCCTTTATCTTCAGGTGGAAAGATGCCAATGCATTGGTGGCACACAGGTCACAGTTGGAGACATCCATTCTTAGAAGTTGTGTACTTTAGCAATTAACAGTGAATGGCAAATGGAGGCAATGCCCTTTCCCAGGTTTACTTACTGGAATATGTTGTTGAGCATTTCACATGTTCATTACTCCTGCATGTCTTCAATGCTTAACCTTCCCTAAAAAATACAAATGTTAAGTGTCAGATTCTGATTAAATGATTGATGACAAAATAGTGAAATGAAGTGCATTTTAACTAATTTCAGCAAATAATGAGCAGTTGCTATACTCTGTTCAGTTTCAAGTTTGCAGCCGAAGTGCCCTGCTGAAGGCAGTGCGTGATTTCTGTATATACAGCTCTAGCATTTTAAGACGCAAATTCGAGCGGAGGAGCGATCTGCCGAAGAAACTCCGACTGCAAGCTTGATACCTATGGAACAGACTATAGACATGAAAATGGATTTTTATTAGAAGATCCAGAAAGGTGACATTTGGTCTTGCAGAATGCAGAGGAGAGGGCATCATCACACATCACTTCACAAAAAGACTTTCCAATTTCCAAATCTCCCTTGATTTCTCTTTGACATATGTTGTTGAATATTTTAGTAGGTACCAGCTTCATTCAGAAAAAGCAGCTTAACCCTCGCCGGCCGAGGGGGGGGGGCGGGTGCCGCCCCCCCATAGGGTTTTTTCGCGATAGCTCCGAACACGCTGGCGATAGAGAGCTGAAACTTGGCATACCTGACCTTTGATCCAAGCCGCATCTTTTGACACCAACCGCATTTTTGGGTCAGGTCAGGTCACTGACCTATGACGTCATAAGTGAACCTCTGCACGGTCTTCAGATGTCGCAACTTCGCAACGCCCTCACTGCCAGAGGAGATGTCACAGGGAAATGAAACTTGCAGGATCTAGTATCCATTATGAGTCTCACAACTTGTATATCTCGGATTTTTCCTAAAGGTCATATGAGGTCAGGTCATTTTCGTGACCTCACCATTATAAGTCAATGGGGAAAAATTCAAACTGCTATTCTGGCGCCGGGAACGATCTCCAACTATCTCAAGCACACAGAATCGTGATTTGATGCACTCCTTGCAAGGTTAGATGCGTCACTTTTGCAATGTTGACCTTGCGTGACGTCATTTATGACGTCATCAAGGTCATATTAGTTTTTCGTCAATAACTCTTGATCAAATTGAGCTAGCGAGTCGGGAAAGCCACCAATGGACTCAGGAAGACCTGCCGAATCGAATGATATGCGACATGACCCCTTTCGACCAACTTCGTGACCTTAGGGTGCTGACCTGACCTTGACCTGAGGTCAACACACCAAGTTGACCTGACCCGAACAAAAAGTATATCATTCGACGCGCCTGAGCGAGGCGAACACGATGCTGCCAAAATCGCGGCTCTGCGGCCATTTTTTGCGAAGTTATTCACCAAAAACTGAACCGTACCTTGGGGCACTTGACCTGACCTCAGAGGTCACCGGTTGACCTAGGACCTTAAATTCGGGTACCAATCTCTGCGTCTCGTAACGGCGCACACGCTCGTTTTTTCCGCGACGCGCTAGCTCCACCAGGGGCGAAACGGCGAGGGGGGGGTCGTACCCGCCCCCCCCCCCCCTCGGCCGGCGCGTATGTAGAAAACCAATAGGTCCGGCGAGGGTTAAGAGATATTGGCAGTACTGGTCTGAAGCCTGAAGCTGAGCTCTACACAGTTTATTAAGGGTAAATTGTGTTCCTTTCCATGCTTTTCAATGTAATGAATCTAAAAATGATGCTCATTAGTCATTAGTCATAGTGTATCATATCATGCCAATCCAGTGAGGGAAGGTCACCTAGCCTAACCATATCTGACCCAATCCACTACCTATTCAGCCTGGACTTCTGCCAGAGGAGGTGTAGGGTTAGGTTAGGTTCAGTTAGGCTGGGCCATATATAGCCTTGGGCTGGGTTTATATAGCCTTGGGCTGGGCCAAGTTAGGTTGAGTACAGTTAGGTTGGGTTAGATTATGCTGAGTTAAGCAAGATTAGGTAGGTAAGGTCAGGTGACCTCACCTCAAATATATGATATGATATTTGCACTAATGAACATCATTTCTATGTTCAGGACATTGAAAAAATCTAAAGGAGCAAAATTTATCCTTGAAAAAGGTGGGCCTCACCTTCAGTTTTACCAAGGTACCTATTCTTTATGTGCATAGAAAACAAAGTTTTTGTGAATTCTCCAAGTCCCAAAACTGCTGAATGATAAGGAAAGCCTAAATGACCCCCCCCCCCCTAGATCCACCAGTGTTGGCTTAGCATTCTGATTCCATGATGATAGGTAGATGCGAGAGCTGAGATATGAAGTAGGTATGCATTTTGGAATTAGGCATTTCATTAAACATTTACATTTTTGATTGATGTTCCAACTGATGTCATGAAAAGTTATATTTTGTCTTACTGTTACAGTATACAGTCGGTCTTAAAACTTTAAAGTACCTACCGCACAATAGTGCAGGGGATCCATCAAGCCCAACAGTGAAAGGACTGCTAAAATTGAGTTACCAAAGCAATTGACATCTTCGTCCATTCCCCAAGCCAATTGGTTTAGCGACTTTTAAATTATATCAGGCCCTTCCTCTGTCAGGCTTGATGGATCCACCACACTGTTGCTTTGTACTTCCAGGACTGACTAGTGACTACAAACATTCACTACACCAAAACTTGCACTATTCATACCTACCTTTCCAAACTTGCTGTACGCTGATGTACCGGGTGTTGCAGCTAAATTGGGACAAAGTTCGTAACCTAATCACAATTTTGTTATTTGGAGGATATGGCTGAAAATTTGACATGATACTATTTCAACAATGCTCTTTCACGTGCTAATATTTTTGATGCACGAAAACCGATAACAGTCATGGAGGAACAGCGTAGATGTACAGTTGCTGAATTAGTTCGCGCTGGACAAAGCGCGAAAGAGATCGTTATCGCAACAGGATACCCGAAGTCTACGGTATATCGCACTGTCGCTACTATGGACGGTGGAGGAGATGTCAGTAGACGTCCCCATGCGCCGCGAAGTGACCGCAAACGGAATCCTCGGTTTCTCGCGGGCTTGAAAAGGTCTATTGAGGCCAAACCAGGTGTCTCAATGCGTAAGCTAGCGCGAGACCGAAGGGTGAGCAAAAGCACCATTAGCAGGGCTGTCAAGGAGAACCTCGGGATGAGGTCGTATAGTAGGAAACGGCAGAACCTTCTGACGGAGCGTCTAAAAGCGTTACGGAAGGAGAGGGTCCCGATGGTTCTGAACCAGCTCAAGAACCATGGAGGAGACGTGAGAGTCTTTGTGGACGAAAAGAAGTTTGTGGTAGACGAAGTTGCCAACCGCCGGAACTCAAGAGTCATCGCCTCGAACCCCGGTGATGTTCCACCAGTGATGATAAGCAAAAATCCAGCCTCTGTGATGGTGTTCGGAGCCGTCGCGAGCGACGGTCGCGTCATGCCCCCTCACTTCATACCTGCTGGAGAAAGAATCGGCGCAGAGGAGTATCTGGCCATCTTAGAAGAAGTGCTTTTGCCCTGGATGGCGAAGTACTACGACCTGAAGAAAGTCACACTTGTACAGGACTCGGCTCCAGCTCATGCTTCCCGGAGGGTGCAGGATTTCCTTAGTCGGAAGATCCCTCTGTATGTCCCAAAGGATACGTGGCCTCCAAACTCACCCGACCTAAATCCGTGCGACTTTTGGATGTGGAGCGCGATTGAGGAGAGGTCCAACGCACGTGCCCATGACAGCATCTCGAGCCTCAAGAAGTCCATCAAGAAGGCAGCCAGCAGCATCGATCCTATGGAGGCTCAGCGCGCGTGCGGCGCGTTCCGACGCCGCCTGGAGATGGTGAAGGAGGCTCATGGTGGCCACATTGAGTGAGAGGGTAGAGAACATGTGCGTCAATACACGTTCAAAGTTTGAAAGCTCTGTCTCTTCATTCTACTGAGTTATGCCACTTTAAGTGTAAGCGGGAAAAATTCCCAATTTAGCTGCAACACCCTGTATGATCCATATATTTATTTGAACATGCCATACAACATATAGCCAACCAATATAAACCGCAAAACTCAAGCCCTTGCTCAAGCCCCTATGGATCCCAAGTTGAAGTGGATCCATGGATCCAATAAACAAAAGTTCCCTTTTTATCAATAAAACTGTTCAAATATTTGCGGGTATCGGGCAGATGCAGGCTATTTTCCAATGGTTGTCCTAATAAAAGTTACATGAACAGTATTAGCAGAAACAAAACAATTTTGAACAGTTACTAAAAAAGACACTAATGGCTTGCGTGAGCCAGATCTTTCGTCAGTATTTTGATGCTAAAAAATGCAAAAAGAAAAATATTGAACAGTTGAAAAACGATTGAACAAAAAAGCAAATGAGCTAGTTTGAAGCTATATAGATCAGTTTTCTAATTGTTGCACAAGTTTCAATGAAAATAAAAGCTAATCGAGGAATGAATCAATGAAACTTACCCAATACGTTATTTCTGTCCTTTGACTTAAGTTGCAGTGTTTTAATGCGCGCTCCTCATCTTTGTCAGTTTGTGGATCGTGGATCCCTTCCGTTGGCAAATGACAAATGACGTTGGATCTTTGAGGGAGGCAGTAAATCCCTATATGTCGTAATATAAGGGTTGTCCGTGAAGTAGGTACTGTCAAGTAAATCCAGTTGTTATGACTTTTAAGATACCCATTACAATTTGTGCTTTTGCAAGTGTTTGTTCATTGATTTACCACCATTAATTTGTTAAATTCATGCACTAAGCTATGAACTTGTTTTCTGACCTTGGGAGCTGGAGCTGCTACTTTTGAATATTTGTTTATTCAAACTAGCCCCACATTCGATATCTGATGGCTAAGATGCTTTGTCATCCAGCCTATCACGGTCCATAACAGCAGCCAAGCCCCCACTGACCTTGAACAGGATAGGCCGGACGACGTAGAATCTTCGTTGTCTGAGAGACATCGAATGCTGGGTACCTAGGTACTGGAAAGGTATTACAAACAACTCTTTCCATCTCAAAATTGGCTTCATCAGGTACCCTGCAAAATCAGGTAAATCAAGTACCCTGCAAAATAAGGTATCAGGTACAAAACAAGACCTAGAACTTTTGCTACATACCATTTATAACCCTGCACTTTAATGAAAAAATGCAATGAAGTGGAATTTTCTCCTATTGACCGATTTGACCTTCTTGTTCCTTCAGTGCGACACTTTCCAGACAATGCTGTACTGGTACCAGCATAGTGATTTGGCACAGTACCACTAAGAGTGTGCACTGTTTTGTGCAAATTTGGCATGAAACCACAGTAAACAGCACCACAAAGTGCACCAGTGGAGTGAGTGCCCCTGGGGCCAAGGCCCAGTGGCCCAGTGGTGACAATATCTCTTTGAGATTGCCATGCTTTGCAGTCTGGCTGACTGTGCTTGCAAAATATTCCAGATTCCAGGATTTTATGTATCATGAAGCTCATATCATGGTATGAGCTTCATGATAGGATAGGGAATGATTGACATGTTTTGTTGTTCTTATAACAACTTCTCCATGTTGGTGGTCACGTCCACCGGCACGACTACCTTTTGAACGGTGAAGTCCTGCAGACGGCGACAGAGGAAAAGAATCTAGGAGTGATTGTTGACGCGGAGCTGAAATTTAGGAGGCAAGCAGCGGCAGCGGTCAACAAGGCATCTCGAGTGATGGCCGTGATAAGACGGTCATTCAGCCTGCTGGACAAGATGACCCTGCCAATCCTGTTCAAGACGCTTGTGCGACCACTCCTGGAGTACAGTAACATTGTCTGGGGGCCATTCAATCGAGCGGATTAGCTCCTCATCGAACGAGTCCAGCGCCGAGCGACCAAGCTGGTCCAGGAAGTACGTCACCTACCGTACCAGGAAAGACTGAAGTCCACGAAGCTGCCTTCCCTCCACTACCGACGTCGACGCGGCGACATGATCGCTGTCTACAATGTGCTGCATGGGAGACTGGACCTGAATCTGGAGGAGTTCTTCAACCGAGTAACGACCAGAGATACAAGAGGACACTCCTGGCGTCTTGCGAAGCCTCATGCCATCACCCGCGTCCGTCGAAACGCGTTCGCAGTCAGAGTCATTAACGACTGGAACAGCCTACCATCATCCATCGTAGACGCCGACTCTCTTAACTCGTTCAAGAACCGGCTCGACACTCACTGGAGACACCTCCACTTCACCCCACCCCTACCATATGAGCAGTAACACTGTCAATCACGAACTACAGGCCTTGGGCCTCTCAAAATTCTCCGTGCGTCTTAAGTAAGTAAGCAAGTATAAGTGCAGAGCACCAAATTTTGTAGTAGAAATGTTTCAGTTTTGTTGGCTGCTGTCTGGTTACTGGTATGGATTTCTAGCCTGGTTTAGTGTTGGTGTGGATCAGATTTGTAGCCTCACTTTTGTGACTTGTAGGCTCTCTTGCCTTGGTATGCTTTGCAGTCTGTGCCAAGGAAGTATCAACCCTTGTTAGTCATAATATGATCGGTAATAGTTTGTATCACAATGATGTCTTATAAAGTAGTGAGCATCCCATTCAGAATCAGGACCACTTCAGTATCAGATGCATTTGCCTTTTATACTGTTATACAATTGAATTAAGGAGCTCTGTGCTCCATAGTGTGGTTTGGATCTGTTGAACTATTAAAAAAAAAAAACTGCACCAGTGCATACAAGTGTTGAGATCTGCCGGTCCCAAAGATCCTTTATTTTGTATGCTGCTCAATTCAAATAAATTAAAAGTATGAATTATATGCTTTCTTATTGTTAGGTAACTGAGTCACTGATCACAACATTAATATCAATATCATTGTGTTTTGCAGATGGAGAATAATGGTGGCTCCTAGCTGGTGTTGTTCACTGCAGTATCACATTGTTGAAGACAGCTAATTACTTTTGACCTCTGGGAGAAGAGAGGTGGATAAGATGCATTTTACAAATGGATTGTTTTTTCTATTTGGTTTCGTTTTCTTCATATGCCAAGGTAGGTATTCAGCCAAAACAGTTAAACTACTTTCAGCATTTGGCTCTGATGTTACTATTGTCATAGTCAAGTCAGCTATATTTAATCTGTGCATTTAAGATTTCACTAGTGTTACGCATTTTTATGGGATATTTTACCCTGCACAGTTCTTTTCATGCTTGAGTGCAGGTCAAGTGATTTCATTCCATAACTCACTTGCTCCTTGCTAGTGTATCTTTTGAGGCCAAAGTTTTTAGAATAGAAGTATGATGATCAACCACACTATTTAACAGCATAACTGTGTTTTCAGGCTCACTCATCAATCGACTGAAGTACCATGAGGTGATGCATGCAAGTGAGCTAAGCCACACAATTGTGAAGCGAGGCATCAACAGCAGCCCTCATCCTTTCAACAAAATTAAAGAGCTAACATTCAAAACACTGGGCAGGTACATATGCTGGAATTGGATGTTTTTAGATCTGTTTTGGGTAAGGCAATTTACTCATTAACTTTAGGATTTGATTGCATGAGAAGAAAATGTGTGATGTTTGTAATGTAGCTTTGTAATTTTGTATGTAATGTAATGTTTTTTATCTCCTAAATGCCTGGTGTTATTTTATTTTTAATACTGTAACTGTTTGTCACAGGGATTTCAAGCTTATGCTTTCACCAAGAAAGTATCTGCTGCACAGCCAGTTCAAGGCATATGAAGTGGACAAGGATGGAAAGGAAAAACTCCATCATATCGGTAAGTTTCCATTAATTAGCCCTTAAACATAGGTACTTTTGTCTTTGGTTTCTGGTGTAAACTCGTTGGATCAATTTCTTATCATAGTTTCTGACCTCTGTGGATATCAAGTTGACCATACCAACCCTGCATAACTTTGTGAAAATATGTCAATATCAAAATGTTGAATGATTATCCTGTCCTGTTGTGACCTGTTATAATTACAAACAAATTACCTGTATGATGTTCATGCCTTGTGACCGTCACAGACCCGGAGCACCACGACCTGTACGAGGGCCGTGTGTTCGGCGAGATAGAGTCGGACGTCAGCGCTCTTATCGAGGACGGCGTGATGACGGCTACCGTACGGACGAAGGAGGATACGTACCACATTGAGGTGAAGACTGCCGACGTCTTATAGAGCTATGGCCGATAGATTTATGTCTGGTCTGGTCTGATTGGTCTGACCTAGACCCTACTCTAGTGGGCAGTCAAACAGGGGTGGTATGAGTGGTTAGTCATTCAGTGGCATCTGAGTCAACACTTGTCACATGCCTGAGTGTATGGCTTGCTGATGAACGATTCGGAGTGACATCTTATAGTGTCATTTCTTTGTAACGCTCGCGGCTTCCACGTCCGCATTATTTCCCGTGATGATGCCCTTACCGCTGCCGTGGCCGTCCTGCGTCATTTTCAGCCGGCCTGGCGCCACATCGACGACCCGCTGCGCACTCGGATGATCACCTACCGCAGCTCGGACGTACTGGATGGCCAGCCGGGCCTGCCGCTGCCCTCGCTCGGCTCCCACTGCGCCTACGTGCGCGAGGAGGGGAACGCCACCGGTGAGCGGCCGGGAGGGTAGTGCTCAGAAAAAGAAATACAGCTCTTCGGAGGGACAATGCATGGAAGGATAGTTCGAGCGCGATAGTTCGGGACAAGATACTCCGTTGCATTACAGTTTACGAAGGACGGTGCCTGGCGGAATTCCTAGCGGCTGCTTCCAGCGATTAGTTGCTCGGAAGTTTTTTTCAGCCGATCGTTTGACGACCGTCTGGCGCTAGCACCATACAGGCAAACATGAAGTGTAGTTTCTTGTGTTGATATGTTTGCTCACGTTTTGTTTATATTTATAGCTGATGGTGCTTTTTGTCGCGATCTTAGTATCATTGCCTATGTTATTATAATGCAACTATGCTCGCGGGTCAGCGTTCAGCTTCGGTCACAAATTCCGTCTTGATAGTTAATCTACACGGGCATTGAACAATATCTAATGGATTTTCTGACTGTCCCCAGGCCCGGAGTGGGGCGAGGAGGGCGGTCCAGGTCCTCACGTGCGAGCTAAGCGCCAGACCACAGAGGCGTTCACGTTCAACATAATGAAGACGCGCTGTCCGCTGCTACTGGTGGCCGACTATCGTTTCTACAAGGACATGGGCAGCAGCAACACTAAGACCACCATCAACTACCTGGTACGATCGGATAGGATGGGCGCTCAATGGTCACGATGTCCCCCTCTCTTCCTAAACCCAACAATTGATTAATCGACTGTCATATGGTCTGCACATGGGCGTCCCAACGCTGCCCATGGGCACACTGATGACTTTCCCATTCATTTACTCGCCATTATTCTTGATATTACAACCTGTTGAGCTTTCTGCTGCCACGTTTACAATAGAGGTGGCAAAATGTGGACCCGAGGACCCGGTCCAAAGAACCAGTCTGGACCCATATGGGTCCAGACCGGTTCCTGGAAATTTTCTGACGGGTCCAACCGGGTCCTACCATAAACTATACATCTTGCACACCACACATTATTGCAAAATAAGAAGTGAATGAAGTGAATGTTTCTTTGCACACAGTAGATCATGAGTATTCCCAGTGGGAAATTGGCTGTTTTACATGATGCAACTAATGATACCTACAAGTAGTTTGTATTGATTGACTTTTGGGGAACGGGTCCAACTGGTTCCGATTCCAACTAAGACCGGGTCCGACTGGTTCCAGAAATGTCCAACCGGGTCTGGTTCGAGTCTGGTTCCCAAAATTTTCATCTTTTGCCACCTCTAGTTTACAACGTTCGCTCCTGACCCATCCGGTGTCACTGCCTACAGATCAGCTTGATCGACCGTGTAGACAAGATTTACCGCGACACGGTGTGGGCGGCGGGCGACCGCGACCGAGGCGTGGGGGAGCGCCACCTGGGAGCCATGGGCTTCGTCATCAAGAAGATCGTGGTGCACAGCGAGCACACGCCGGTGGCGCGGGGCCAGGAGCACTACAACATGGACACGGGCAGCTGGGACGTGCGCCACCTGCTCGAGGTACGGGGGATGCTGCTGCTGCTGCTGCTGCTGCTGGGGCGGGGGCTGGACACGGGCAGCTGGGACGTGCGCCACCTGCTCGAGGTACGGGGGATGCTGCTGGTGCTGCTGCTGCTGGGGTGGGGGCTGGGCACGGGCAGCTGGGACGTGCGCCACCTGCTCGAGGTACGGGGGACGCTGCTGGGTTGGGGGCTGGACACGGGCAGCTGGGACGTGCGCCACCTGCTCGAGGTACGGGGATGCTGCTGCTGCTGCTGCTGCTGGGGTGGGGGTTGGACACGGGCAGCTGGGACGTGCGCCACCTGCTCGAGGTACGGGGGATGCTGCTGGTGCTGCTGCTGCTGGGGTGGGGGTTGGACACGGGCAGCTGGGACGTGCGCCACCTGCTCGAGGTACGGGGGATGCTGCTGGTGCTGCTGCTGCTGCTGCTGGGGTGGGGGTTGGACACGGGCAGCTGGGACGTACGACAGTACGACACCTGCTCGAGGTACGTAGGAGGGTGACTGCTGGTGGACGTCACAGAAAGTGGGATGGGGGGATACAATTTTACTTCATTGACGGGCAGTGTGACATGGGCGACCAGAACTATGCAGTTTGGTAACATGTGAAAAACGTAGCGTTTGTTTCTTTTACTTTTGTTTTAGACTGCTTGGTAATGTTACCGACTTTTGGCCGATGCCAGCTGACTGAGCCAGACTGATCTACTAGCAGACGAATAGACGAAGAGAAGAGACGACAGACGACCGGCTCACTGACTGCTGAATTCTGACCGATCTACCGACTGGCCGAGCAGAGGACCATAACAGGTCACCTTCTACTGGGAATCTTCAACGTGCGGTCTGATTCAGTGGAGACGCGGAGAGCCCGTGGTAGGTACCGGGCCGAGACTAAACTGACGGAGAGACTAAGAGGGGCTCATTACCCTCAGCGGACAGTCGGCGAGTGACTCATGCCCATTTCGAGTTAATGAGTCATGTATAGGCTGTTTTGTTTTTGTTCTAAAAGTCACTTTTTTGTGCAGTCTTATATCACAGCGGTGTAGATTTTAGTTTTTGATTTTCTTTGGTTGAGTGATCCGAAACTTGCCACCATGGACAGTCATTGATATTGATTTGCAGCTGCTTTTAGTGTGACCTCCCCACCATGTATTTCGTGCCGTGCCGACGACCCGCCCGCCCGCGACAGGTGTTCAGCCGCGACTACACGCACAAGGACTTTTGTCTGGCGCACCTGTTCACCGATATTCGGTTCGACGGCGGCATCCTGGGGCTGGCCTACGTGGGCTCTCCGCGACGCAACTCGGTCGGGGGCATCTGCACGCCCGGTACGTGCCGATTGGAGCGGAGGTAGAGCAGTGGGAATTGTCATGCGTGGGTTCAGATATGTAGTAACTGCTCGCTGTTTGCGTCCAGTTTGAGGCCTGGCAGATGTTGATTCAAGTTTCTGGCGACACTAGCCAGCGGCGGGGTAAGGATTGATATTTGACGCTGCATATTATTAATGGCTACACTTATGGCCCGGACTCGGTCGTATTCCCTGCTGAGTATCTAAATCACTTATTAGTTATTACGAAGATCACTCATTTCCTTTGCACATTGCACCATCAATTCCGGACTTGTCTATTGTTTCCTCTTCTATCCAGCCCTGCTGATAATCTTTCCTCTGATACCCTGCAGAGTATTTCAAGAACGGATTCACTCTGTACCTGAATTCGGGCTTGAGCTCCTCACGCAATCACTACGGCCAGCGGGTCATCACACGGTACGTGAGGAAATCACACATTGTGTGTTCGTAGTAGTTATGTACGCGAGCGAAACGCACATTACTTATGCTGCTACGCTTGTTAGCCTCTCGTATACCTAACCCTGTAAAATGTATATCGGGTTGTGTTGTGTGCTCTCGTGTACTACCGTCAATACCAGGGTTGGCCTTTTTGCCGGCAAAAACTAGTTTATGCCATTTGCCGGTTTAAACCGGCTTTAACCGGCAAAAAGTGGCAAAAACTGGCAAAAACTAAAAACCATCACAATGATATGCCTAGACATGGATTTGAACATGAAACATTTTAAGGAGAATTCGGTGAAAGCTTTATGCTTTCAAACAGAAGTGACATTGACCGTTGAAGTGTTCTATAACTCAAAAACACTTTCATGGGCTTTCCATAAGGAACCAGTAAGACGCCTTTTGGGGTTGACAAATGAGCCAGTGCAAGAGTGAGTCCTGCACAATCAGAAGTGCGAAGGGGTATCTGCCACTGATATGCGCACGGCACCCTACCGTGGCAGCTTTGCCCCACTCTCCCCTACATGGAAATGCATTCTGTGGGGGATGTCTACCGACATGCATAGACATTTTAAGCAGGGATAAGTAATGAGGCAAACTTCAGAATGTTTGGTGCATCTCTATAACATCCAGAAATGCATTTGTACATTTCCGATCCATTCCTAACTAGAAAAGTTGTGGTTTGGGCCACCTGAGTTTTATCCAGTTTTTGCCAGTTTTTGCCACCGGGGTTTCTGCCAGCTGGTTTAAACCGGTTAAAACCACTGGCAAAAACCAGTTTTTGCCACCCCTTGCCAACCCTGGTCAATACCGTGTCACTTGCGGTGTACTTCGCCTTGCGACGTATCGCCGACCCTTATGACCCCTTCTGCCTCTCTGCCCCGCTGTCTGCAGCGAGGCCGACCTGGTGACGGCCCACGAGTTCGGTCACAACTGGGGCAGCGAGCACGATCCCGACATGGCCGAGTGCTCGCCGAGCGCCAGCAAGGGCGGCTCCTACCTCATGTACACCTACTCCGTCTCCGGATACGACCTCAACAACAAGGTGAGTGGGAGCCGGCCGCGAAATGACCCGGCTGAGAGGAAAGGCCCTTGTGGGCAGCCTAGTGAGTAGTAGTAGATACACGGGTTTTACAATGGAAGTTGTTTGAGAATATTTTTAAGTATCTTGATTTTAACGCAGAGTACCAATGGCGCCACCTCCTAAAAACTATCGTTGACCCATTGCAGAATCTGCTCATTTTGCACAGTCTGCAGCTCACACGGCAGTCCCCAGATCCGACACTATCCGTACGTCCCAGTTAACTGACCATGCACCGTGCCCCGACTCTGCGCAGCGTTTCTCTCCGTGCTCCCTGCGCTCCATCAACCTGGTGCTGAAGGCCAAGTCGTCGCGCTGTTTCACCGAGCCGGAGGAGTCGTTCTGCGGAAACCTGCGTGTCGAGGGTGACGAGGAGTGTGACGCCGGTCTGGTCGGCTCGGAGGACGAGGACTCGTGCTGCGACAAAAACTGCAAGCTGCGCCGGAACACGGGCGCCGTGTGCAGCGACAAGAACTCTCCGTGCTGCAGCAACTGTCAGTACCTGCAGCTGGGAGCCAAGTGCCGAGAGGCCAGTCTGGCTACCTGTGAGAAGGAGGCCACCTGCAACGGTGAGAGGGGGGTAGAGGGTGGTTGTGGGGAAGTAGGAAGGGGATACGGTAGTTTCATTGGTGTGTGGGTGGTGGGAACGGCGGTGAGGGAAGCACTGAGGACGATAGATGACCGTTTGGATGACTCATTTCGTTTTGAGAAGGTGACAGGGACTCCTACTTCTTGGTACCTAACGCTGGTTGGCCCACAGTTCCTCTCACTTTGTCTGCCAGGCGCGCGCGCTGGCTGCCTGGCCTCTGCCTCGATGGATCTATCTAACTCCTGTCTCCTTCTCTGCCAGGCGCCCGGGCCGACTGTCCGGCCTCTGCTCCAATGGTGGACGGCACAGAGTGTCAGGAGCACGGCGGTCGCTGCCGCGCCGGCAAGTGCGTGTCGTTCTGCGAGCTGAACGGCCTACACAGCTGTATGTGCGACGTGGAGAAGTACGCGTGCAACCTGTGCTGCCGCAAGTCGCTCAACGACACGTGCACGGCCCAGGAGCCGCTGCGCACCCTCTCCGGAGGAACGCCCTGCATGCACGGACTGTGCAACAACATGGTCAGTTGATTGCCGGCGAGGAGGAGAGGAGACTGTTAGTAGGGTCAAGGGTGATAAGCATAGCAATCAGGATGGTCTGAGGCGAGCTGTCGGTGTGCGATCGTAGAGTCGACGAGGTATGTTTGTCGACTCTACGTCGACTCTACACACCATCAATATCACACCTTGGTGGTGTGATATTGACAAATATTATGATCGGCACTGATGTGGTACAATGTCGTTTGGCAGCTGTTGTGATAATGTGTGACATTGTCAACTGTCAGGATGGTCGTGCTGAGGGAAGTTTGGCCGACCGACGCTCCATTTTCCCTGTTCCGCTCTGACCCGTGCCTCTGACCCGGTGCACCACAGGGCGTCTGTGAGAAGACCGTACAGGACGTAGTGGAACGCTTCTGGGACATCATAGAGGACATCAACATCAACAAGGTGCGTGGCAGATGCCGGGCTGGTCTGCCGGTCAGTGGGGTAGGGGGACTACGAATATCTGTTGTTGCGTCATATGGATCAGCTGTCGTTTTCGTACATGGCACCACAGTCGGTATTGTGATTATTTACTGAATGCCTTCAGCAACAGTTTACTTCAGGATCTACTACTGACCCAATATTTAATCCCCTCTCGTTCTCACAGGTGTTGCGGTTCCTGCGTGACAACATCGTGGGCACTGTGCTAGTGATCAGCATCATCATCTGGGTGCCGGCCAGCTGCGTGTTCAGCTACGTGGACGCCAAGCGGCGCCGCCAGGAGGAGGAGGAGCTGGCCTGGCAGCGGCGCGACCAGCTGATACGGCCCGGCGAGCGGCGCGTCGTCTACACTCGCCGCCGGCTGCCCGACCGCGATCGACCGGCAGAGTATGGCGCCTCCGCCAGGATGTAGGCGGCGGATGGCTGGGAGGGTTAGCAGCCGGGAGCCGCCGGGCGGAGGCGAGTCCCGCCGTGTCGTATTCGGACTGGATAGTGGAGTTATGATGCGCTACTCGACCGGCCCGCTGGAATTGATTGCCCGCTGGAAGATCAGTCATTTTTTTGTGATGCATTTAGCGGATAGGCGTTTTATGCCGCAATTGAGAGGCTCTGTCAGCTATTTCGTATACAGTGTAGCCTTGTTCTACAAGCGCCGATAGTAGATGGTGAACGACTGAGACTCACATCAGCGTAGTATTTTCACAGTACATAGTTAGCACGATTTGATCGAAGGAAGCTCAGCCAAGCCCGTGATTGCTTGTATATCATGTTTCCTATCATCATTATTTATCAGTCATCACATTGTAAGGGCAAGTTTTGAAGCATCCTTTCTTCACGCGAAGGATTATTTCACTGCACAGCTTACATTTCTGCAGCCGTATACTTGCAAACATACCTATACTTGGAAGTGTTGTCTTCGCCACGCAATGGTGGCGAATGTGCGTGTGAATGCGTCTGAAAGTGTGATGTTTGAAGTGAGCACGTCCGCGCTATTATCACGGCAACGTGTGATTTTAGGAGTGGCGGTGCCGTGATTTTACCGCGTGTCGAGTGTAGCGCAAATTCATTGAACGTTAGATATTTTCTATGATGGTTTATCAGCTTAGAATCCATCCGCGGTTGTGTGATAGGCTTTCGAAATGTGTTTTCCGTCGCTTTACATGTGCCCCCAGTCACTCTGTAGCTCCTGCCTGTGTCCTTGCATGGTGCGATGCGCCGTCTGCCCAGTGGACGCTTGGCGACCGACAGCATACGGCTGAGCAGCTGTTGGACATTTGGTTGCCCAACGGCACTCGTTCGGAGCCGGCGTCGGTCGCGTGATCTCCCCGTCCCCTAGTCATGTGTTATTTGTCCCCGCGGACGATGTGTTCTGAAGTGAGATTAGATCAATCACTTGTATCGGAACAAATATACCCACGATACGAGAATGACGTTTTCGGTATGGTTGCTGGTGGCAGGAATGGCGAACAGAAAAAATTACTTATATTCTAAATGTAGCGTACCTTCTTTTCGCATCCGCTCCTATGGAGTAACATTCATGGTCTGTTTCGTCAACAGGATTGCCCTGAACTTTTGTACATTACTTTCCCGTCGCAAGCATATTTTAGTTTTCGACAGAACTTTTGAAGTCTGCATAGCAAGCATCCCACGGAACCCATTATTTGTGGCAGCAAAATAGCAGCCGTGACGCGTCAGCTGCCGAAGATGCTGGGACAAAAGTGACGCGAAATGCAAATGTAAACAAACTGCATCAATCACACACGCGTCTTTTATAGACAAATATTTTGTTATTTTGTGGATATTGTCGGATGCTGGTTGGGCCTCGTATAATTGAAACATCATCTTCTTCAAAGTTCTCCTCTTATAAGTGGTAAGGTATACCAGTTGTGTTGGTAAAGTACATTTTGTTCAAAGCGTGCTGGAAACAACTGAAAACTGAGTGTTATTTTTTAAGTTTGTTGTTTATAATTTTCATGGATTATGGATACCTGTTGATATAGGGCAAAAAGTACACAAATCAAAACAACAATTTGCCATAGGTGCCTGTGTCACAGATACATGTAAATGAGAAGTGAACTCGAATTCTTTGAAAGGGAATGGTGCCGCAACATCAACACAACATAGAGAGTTGATATGTCTAGATTAAGTACGGTTGGTATGTTGGTAGGTTGTAGGCTGGTAGGTTATACGTTTTAGGTGGGTAGGTTGTAGGTTCAAGGTTGTAGCTCAGTAGCTAAGGTAAAAGGTCAGGGTAGATTATTTTTAATCTTCACTGTCCTTCATCTGGTATTTGTTCAGAAAGGTCTGATTTACAACTGTGGTGCCATTGATATGAAAATACAGTAACAGAAATTGTAGGTTGTAGGTTGTGTTAGGTTGTAGGTTTGTAGGTTTATGTTTTAGGTTGGATTTTGGTAGGTTGTAGGTTTGTAGGTATGTTGTCATCTACACATTTACCGAGAGCTGCATAGGTACTGCGCCTTGGGTACTGCATGGTGGCTTGTTTTTCATTGTTGTTAGTGTGCTACCTAAGGGCTAAGGCTGAGTGAAAGTGCAGAAATTGCATTGTGCATGTATTAGTTACGAGTAATTTTGGCATCATGTGGTTGGAAATCACAAAGTAATGATAGAAAATCACAAACACTAAGTACCTACTACCTATGCTAGAAAGCGGAAATGCAGCAGTGCCTTTATTTAGATTGTTAAAAGTTGTGTTTAGCTACCTATACTTCTTATTGAAAGGGGTTATCTTTTGTGCTGCAGATCGGTATAGGATGGATATGGCATCCAAAGCTGATAAAATTGCATCTGCCAGGAAGCTGGTAAGTTTTTTAAATCAACAGTATTCAAGCAAGTGCCAATAAGATTAAAGCATCAAGCTTGCTAGGTTTACTTAATTTGTTGATTTGTTGTCAGCCCTATAGTATTGTGCCTATATTTTCAAGATGCAAGGACTAAATAGCACTGGTGCAGTTAGCTTTCATTGCAGGAAACTAATACAAAGCTTGTCTGGTAAATAGCAATTGGTATCGTATCACCAGCATCTGAGCTGTTGTTGCTAATTAGAATGCCTCTGAGTGGATGTGTTTTGTTATATGCAAAGTCATTGTGTTGCTACTTGGACTTTATTTAGGATGTTTTTATACATCACTATGTCCTGAAGGACATGTTTGTTATGTTTTGTTCATTTGTGTTTTGATGACACTGATTGTAATATTTCAGCTGAAAAGTTACCAACAGAAGAAGACCAAGGTAGACAAGCCTGCATCACCAGCCCCAGCATCAGACTTCACCATTCTGAGTGAACCCCCTGGCCCTACCTTCATTGAAGATGCTGTCTCCATTGAAAAGCCTCCAGATCATGCACCACTTATCCCAGAGCAGCCACCAGGGAGCGTAGATGAGGCTGCCAAAGTGAGTGTTGTTTTCAATTGTGCTATTGCTACCAACTAATGTATATCAGAAGTGTTGTGTAGTCATCAGTTTGATTTCTTAATTAAGTCTTGATCTTACTGTTCTTATCTTATCTGTCTTTATCTTTTTATCTTCTGTTCCTGATTCTACTTCTATTAAAATGTATATTTTTAGTTTCCTAGCACTTGCCTCCTAATTGTAACTCATACATCTGGCACTGTTCTCTGCATTTTCACAGAGCTCTCCACAGCTTCCGATATTCACCTTCCCTGCCGACGGGAGCACGTCATTCTCCGAGTACCTCGGTAACCCGCCGGCCCCGGTCCCGACTCCTCCGACCGCCCCGGGCGCGACTGCAGAGATGCCATTCTCCGGGATGGAGCCGCCTCCGCCGCCCGCCGCCGAGCCACCGCAGCCTGCTGCTGAGGCCCACCCCTCGCCATCCCCGCCGACCGGCACGGAGGTGCCTCAGGAGCCGGCTGCCGGGCCCGTCCAGGACGACTCGCCGCCGGGCGCCTCGATGGCCTCCAGTTTCACCTTCGCCGGCTCTCAGCCGTCGGGACCGGGCTCACAGGGTAGCGCGGCGAGTAGCCGCCACTCGGACTGGGAGTACGTGGTGGGAGGTCAGCAGGAGGCGGCCGCCGGACCGGACGCCGCCGGCGCTCAGCAGGTGGGTGGCTGCAGGCGGCGGAGGGGGAGCTGCTAGCCTGCTAGCATGGTGGGGGGGGGGGGGGCAACAGTCGGCGTATTGCACTCAGGATCGGGTGTGAATGGTGCCGGCACCGGTCACCTATCGACCGTTTTCCCTCCATTGTTCGACGAGCATACTTTCGGCTTTTCAATCGCGCACCATGCGTCGAACGTGCAACGGTCATTTACTGACTAGGTTTGTCTGGAAACTGGAATGGCAACACAACCACCAGGGCGTGATGTTCATCGTAACTCTTGATTGTGTCATACTTATGCAAATTTTTACTGGGCATGTTTATATTTTCATCTCCCCGATTCCCGGTGACAGCTGATAAAGAGCATGGATAAATCTCAATATGCAATGCTCCTTGGCCAGCGGACCCCGCCGAATGGCCGATACCGGCCGCTCCTCAGGCCTGGCACCAGTGCTCTGCGTTCGCTGGGTAGCTATGGGCAGTGTGCAATGCTCCTGGACCGGCGCAGACCACCGGTGCCGGCCGCGGACACGGTGATCGATGGCCGGCCGCAGTCGGCGCTGCTCGCTGATGATGATGGACTGTTTCTTAAGGGGATTATGAACTTCTGTTATGGCCGCCGCCAGCGCTGTTTTCTAAATTGTTACTGATACGCGGCCAGTGCGTCATTTTGGACATATCCAGGCCGCTAGCAATGTATTTTCATTTTGAAATTGGTGGTTCCTGGCCATTATAGCCCGACTTCAGTAATACAAATGTGCGAGAAATTCTTCTGTGTGGTTTACTTTTGCAATTGTGATATCGTGGTTATGGGCATTTCTGCGGAACATGACATTTCTTCTGTCATATACTTGATATATTGCTGAAGTAGCAAAGAAGCCATAATGCTAGCTGCTTCGTAATTGGTGTCTAGTGTCTGCTTGTAGTCGAACGGAAACTGTTGTTCTGAATTATTCTCCCTTTACTTCTTTCTAATGCTTTGTTCTCAGTTGGACCGACGCTACCTCCTCTTTAGTAACATTGGATCCCCGTCGTCATTTGACTATATGTCATTACGAGCTGCCGTTCTAATCTGACCTTGTCTTCCCCTCCGTCGGTAGGAGCGTGCCGAGGTGGCCGCCGCTCCGGCACCAGCTCACCTGACCTCCGAGACTCTGCGCCAGCTCAGTGACCGGCTCAGCCAGATGACCTCGGAGGGCGAGGAGGCCGAGGGCGAGCCGACCGCCGCCGGTCCGCCGGCCACCGACCAGCGGCTGGCGCAGCGCAACTCGGAGCTGGCCGCAGCGCTGGAGGCCGAGCGCCGCGCCCGCGCCGAGGCAGAGCGCACCCTGGAGGACCTGCGCGCGCGCCTCTCTGAGCTGGAGCAGGAACAGGAGAGCGGAAGGCGCGCGGCCGACCTCCGCCTGGAGCAGGAGCGCGCCCGGCTGGCCGAGCAGGCGCGCGCACAGGCGCAGACCATCGGCATCCTGGTGGCGGAGAAGACTGAGCTGAAGACGGCTGCTGAGCAGCTGCAGGCTCGGCTCGAGGAAAAACAGGGTACGGGTGACGGAGGCGCTGGGCGGGGTGGAGCTGGTTGGATCTGTCCACATTTTAATCTGGTTTTGCTTCGTTACCGTGTTCACAGTCTAGTAAAGTTGGCAAAACCGCCCTAGTTTGTATAATTTTGTATTGCTACGCATTTTCTCCCCTCAGCTCTCTTTCTCTCTCCCTTTTTCCCATAGGTACTTTATCTCACATTTGTATGTGTCTGTGTCAACTGCATCTCAACGCCAGTTGAAGTCCTCATGTGACGTGCGATCCCTCCCCTTGCAGCCGAGTGTGATGCGTCTTCCAGTCAGCTGGCCGCCGCCCAGGTTCAGATCCAACAGCTGCGAGAGGAAAGCTCGCGCGCCGGACAGATTGAGGTCTCCGTCCAGCATCTGCAGAGCCTGTACGCCCAGGCCGACAACGAGCGCAACAGAAACAGGTGCGTCGGGCGTGGCGGCTCAAGAGAACGGTGGTTAGACGGAGGGACTGAGGGGTTCGGTGTTCGGCGGTTGGTTGGACATTCTGGCAGTAACCTGAGTGGTATTAGCTTTCGCCTTCATTGATGAGCTGATTGGCGTTAACTCGTTGCATATTTTATTGCCGAATCGTTGTATTGATTTTTTTCTTTGCTATGCGCTTCCGAATTATATATTGTTTCTAGCCATTGGCATTTTGACCTATGTGTCCGCCAGGGAGCTGTGCTCGGAGCTGCAGGAGGAGCTGGACGAAGCCCGCCAGCGACTGCGCACTCAGCTGGACGCCAACCAGGCGCTCACCCGCCAGCTGGCCGACACCAACTCACGGCTGGAGCTGGCAGAAATCCGCCTTACCCAGCTGGGCGGCGGTGGTGGTGTGGGGGAGAGCGGCAGCGGCAGTGGCGCCGAGGAGCGCGCGGCCGCCGCCGAACGGGAGGCCGCCCAGCTGCGGGCAGAGCGCGACGCCGCCTCCGTCCAGTTCCGCGAGTACACTGCCGCGCTGTCAGCGCGTCTGCAGCAGGCCGAGGCGGCGCGGGACACGCTGACAGCCGAGCTGGCCGCGCGGGACGATCAGGCTGCCGCTGCTGCCGCGGCGCCACCGCCGGAGCAGCCGCGGCAGGAGGCGGCGGTTCAGCAGGCGCCACCTCCGACCGTCACTGAAGCCGAGCGTCGGGAGCTGGAGGAGCTGCGTCAGGCGGCCGCCGGAGCCGCAGAGGAGACCGACACACTGCGGCGGGAGCTACGAGCGCTGGTGAGTCCAGACTGGTGGCTCGAGGGGTAGAGGGAGGGTAATAGATGTCACCTGGACGGTTGCAGACGCTGTCTCATCACCATTTCATTTTTGTCAATTTCCCTTCCAAAATGAAGGAAATGTCATGTGTCCGTCGCGGCCATGGTCGAGGCCTGGTCAATTTCCGCTGAATTTCCCCGTGTGTGCCGTTGCAGAGTGAGGAGAACACGCGTCTGACCCTGTCGTCGCAGCAGCAGGCCGCCGAGCTTCAGGAGATGAAGTTCACCGTGGAGCGCGTCAACTCATCGGTACGTCTCTAATTGTCAGATTACCGGACTTCGTAGGATCGGTGACCCAGAGGCTTGATGGCCATCGTGCATCTCTCGTCTATGCTTGTGTTTACTCCGAATTCGTAGTTACAGGCTGCTGCATTTTGTTGTGCACTGTTTGTGTTTTGGTGTGTGATTATGCTCCACTGTCGCTGTATAGCTGATGTAATTTCATGATGTGTTTGGCTCAGGCTGTCGACAACGGTCAGCTGGCGCGGGAGATGGAGAGCGACCGAGTGGCCGCCAGCCGGGCCATGGCGCAGAACAAACAGCTGAAGCAGCAGCTGCAGGAGCTCCAGGACGGCTTCATCACGCTCAGCAACAAGAAGCTGGAGCTGACGGAGAGCCTGGCGGCCGAGCGTCAGGCGTCGGCCGAGCGGGCGCGCCAGGTGGTCGAACTGCAGGAGCAGCTCGATAAGATGACGGCCCGTGCCGCCGAGGCGGACCGACAGAACATGACGGCACACCAGGTCAGTCGCGCGAATGGGCTGGGACGTCTGATAGTAGTTTTGGGATGGTCAGTACAGAACTGCGTCACGCACTAGGCCAATTTGCGCCTAATGTGTAAAGTCTTATCAGTGTGTGCAGCCGTGTTACAACGGCCGATGACTCACCCCTCGTACCTTTGTCCTGGTTCAGAGAGTACCTCCACATTAATATCAACCACGACGTTTGATTCGGCCGGTCCGGCCCGGTCACTGATTGACTCCTGTTATCCTGCGCCACCATGAGCCCTCCTCTGCCGTGCACTGGTCATTAGAACAGCCGATCGCCGCGGCCAGACCCTGCTCTGTCCGACAGTCCCGGTGAGCCTAACGGCCAATCAGCGACCGTGCCGGAGCTGCCGATCGGCGCCATTCGGTGACTGAACGCCACTCGGCGGCCGGACTGCGCTGATGGACGATGTGTGAACTGCGGAGTAGTTAGAGCGGTCTGGACTGTGCTGGGAAGTGCTGAGTAGTCAGAGCCGTTCATGCTGGGCTTGTAAACTGCTGAATCGTCAGAGCGCTGGTCATTGGCCGAGAGAGCCGTGAACTTTCCGGACCGCGCTGCCGACTCGGTTCCGGACCAAATTTAACTCCGCCGTCGAATAGGAACTGGCCAAGTTGTAAAACAGCGTCGAGAAGTTGTTTACCAGGGGGCCCTCGGCGCAGTTTCGTTGGTGGTGTTTTGTCACACCGCAGCACGCGCGTTATTTGCATGTTATGAGCCCGCAGAGTGGAAATGCTGTTTCTGCTTTATCAAACTGGTCGCCAGGGAAGCGTGCTATGTTAGCTGTGACCTTGGGCATGTCCTGAGCGACTAACACCGCATGGTTGGAGGGGTGGGGTCAGCCGGGGTCACCGGCGGTCGGCAGAGGGCTGCCGGCGTGTCGTCACTGCGGGCTGATGACGGTTTGTGATGACGCCTCTCTCGACAGGTGATTGACCAGCTGCGCCACTGGGAGGCGGTCGGCAGGCACGCGCAGGCGCTGCAGGCCGACCTGACGGCCGCAGAGGTCAGTCAGCTGGTGTTGTGGTGTCTGTGACCGTTTGGTGATCCGTCCCGCGCTTACAGCACCGGTCTTCAGCTCTACACAGTTCATGACATTGCACACAAACACAGTCGGGCTTTGTGTTTTTGTTGACCTAGCTTTTGGTTTGCCCCGCTACCGCCCCAGCCCTAACTTCCTTTCTCCATCCTCCCCCTCCCCGTCGCCTGGTGTTTGCTGTGCTTTCAACACGGCCATCTTCACCAGCAGCCGTTCTCTTGACGCGACCTAATGCCTTACTTCCTGTCCTCTGCCTTCGACTCTGCCTCCCATAGGTCTCCTATCTTACCGATCCCTTCCTCTACCATTCCTTCTTGTTCCCTATATCCTGAGCACTGAGCAGTACCCGTCCCCCTAACTCTGTAACGTTTCCCACCAGCCTCTATAGCCGACCCTGACCCCGTCCCCTCCCTCCCCTCCTCCCTCCCCCTCCCCGTCCAGTGGCCGTCCTTCCGCCGTCGCCGACGCCGCGCTCGACTGGTCAGCCTTTGTGTGCGCCGGACGGCCGGGACGGCGCCGGGCCCGGACCCAAACTGCCATTGTGTGGAGGGCAGCCCGCTCGACTGCAGCCGCCACGGCCTTAGAGGCCCACGCCTCGTGTTATATGAACTCCACTGGGCGTGTGTGGGGCGTCTTCATGGCGTGGAGGGGAGGCTACATTAGAGAAATGGGGAAGCTTGTGGGGCGAATGCGTTCGCATTAGCATGTGCTCGTTCAGTAATGATTCAGGGAAGATTAATGCAACGTCTAACATGAGCACATTAACTTCCGTGCGTGAGAGATCTGGGTCACATGAATATTTTCAATTTCCTTAGATCGGCTTAGTATACCGCTGCTTAATTGCCGTCTTTCGTGTTATCTGTGCGTGCCGCCCTGTCGGATTTGCATGTTTCATGTGATTTTATGGAGCACTGCACTGCGTTTGAATGTATGCCATTCCACCGGCATGTCTCCATTGGGATATACCGTCAGCCCGGTATAATCCCTCCCTATAGCTCCGCCGACCGCCACCCTAGTTAATCCCTCCTCTCCTCCCCTTCCCCAGAAGATGAGATCGGTCGAGTCTCCTCTCCCTCCCCTTCCCCCTTCAGAAAAAGCTGTCCCTGCTGGGCTTGGCCGCGTGTGACCCTCCACCTTCTCTCCTACTCTCTCAGGAGAAGCTGACCCGTCTGGGTCGACCTCTCCTAACCCTCCCCTCTCCTCCTCCACAGGAGAAGCTGTCCCGCCTGGGCTCGGCCGCGCCGTCCGCCGCCGGTTCAGAGGCGACCCCCGGGGCGCCGGAGCGACCTCCGAGCGCTGCTGGTTCCGAGCCCCTCTCCAGCCGCACCCAGTCTCCTGTGCCGCGGCCACCCATCGAGGAAGTCATCAGAGAGCGGGAGGAGCTGCGAGCGCGACTCCAGCAGTTCATCGGTACGGGAGAGAGAGAGAGAGAGAGAGAGAGAGAGAGAGAGAGAGAGAGAGAGAGAGAGAGAGAGAGGGAGGGAGGGAGGGAGGAAGGGAGAGAGAGAGAGAGAGGGGGGAGGGAGGAGCTGCGAGCGCGACTCCAGCAGCTCATCGGTATGGGGAGAGAGGGATGGGGTGGGAGGTAGGAGAGGGAGAGAGAGAGAGAGAGGCCTGAGTAGCGAGTCCGGCTGCAGCAGTTTATCGGTAGGGGGAGGGAAAGAGGGCGGGCGTCTACTGACTATGGGGTGTTTATCTTTGCTGACCATTTGCTGGAGCTGGCAGATAGTTTCGCTGCGAGTGGATGAATCCTGAAATTATTCTGCTCAAATGGTCCCTCATCATGATGGTCATTTTTCACCCCGATGGAATCATGGTCGTATTGATAACACATGGGCTTTGGGATTGGAACATTGCCCCAACAAATGAGAAGCGATGGTTAGTCTATGAGCTGCTCTCTACGTGATGGACCACTCCCATTATCTCGTGCTGTGTTCAATTTTTGAAAATGCAAAATTTAGTAGCTCTTTTGCTGGTACTTATCAATAGTTACGACTTTCATTTGTAATCCATGAGTGAGTATCCGTCGTGCAAGTGACGCTTTGCGTTTTCCTCAATAATTACTTTTGTTCGTGTTCACCAGCGTGATTTACTTATGTTGGTATATGTTAGTCGGTGCCCCTAAACCCTTTGTCGCTGTTTGATCGCTGCACGGCCGGTGGTCCGCTTTCTTTGGCTCATGTGAGGTCGGTCCAGTGAGACCTGCATTCCCGCAACCACGCGCACTTGTCCTCTCTTGATAGATTGTCCGTCCCGCTAAATGTTGCGACCGTCCTGAAGCCTATTCTTTGTCTCGGTGCTTTGGCGCTGCCCTTCCCTCACTCGTCGGCAGTTCTGTGACACTCTCCTGTCTTCAGTTCCGAACTTTCTCCTTGCATTGGCGGTCTATGGATCTCCTGTACCCAGCTCTGTTCTGTAACGTTCCCCTTTTCCACATTTGTATGACCCGTCCTCTCGTGTGTACAGGCGGCGGCGCCATGGACAGTATTTGACAGTAGACACTTACCGTAGACAGTAGACACTTACCGTAGACAGTAGACACTTACCGTAGACAGAAGACACTTCTATAACCCGTCCTCTCGTGTGCACAGGCGGCGGCGCCGTAGACAGTATTAGACAGTAGACAGTAGACACTTACCGTAGACAGAAGACACTTCTATAACCCGTCCTCTCGTGTGCACAGGCGGCGGCGCCGTAGACAGTATTAGACAGTAGACAGTAGACACTTACCGTAGACAGAAGACACTTATCTAACCGGTCCTCTCATGTGCACAGGCGGCGGCGCCGTGGACCCAGCTGAACACGAGAAGCTGCGCTCAGCCCTGGCGCAGCTGGAGAAGCGATTCTGCGAGGTCATGAACCAGGTGGCCGCCCTGCGGGAGGAGCGGCAGGGCCTGGAGCACCTCTGTGAACAGCTGCAGGGCGAGACGGACACCATCGGTGAGAGCCGGGAGCGGAGAGAGAGGGAGAGAGAGAGAGAGAGAGAGAGAGAGAGAGAGAGAGAGAGAGAGAGAGAGAGAGAGAGAGAGAGAGAGGCTGGAGAAAAATACACACCTTCAATGGTCGTGCGTGTTGCTTTGTTTGACGCGCTCTAATTCTCAAATACCGTCCGATTTGTCCGTGCTCGGTTCGCCCGCTGGGGAGTATTTGTGGTAGATTGTCCATTAGGCTCGTGTCGATACGTTCGAATCCCCGAAAGCCCATTTCTAACCTGTTCCACACGCTGAGCCGATCCCATTTGCTATTTGTGTCATTGGTTGGACAAATCTGTGTGCGGACGGCGCTATACATGTATTTGGCCGGCTGACGGCCGCTGGGCGCTGATAGGCGACAGCCCGGTGCCAGTGAGTGGGTCCGCCGCGGGCCGCCGCCCCGCTCCGCCGCCCCCATCGGTCGGTCGGACTGGTGACGGACTGACGGCCCGCTGCTCATGGCGTGATACCGGAGACGGACCGCCCCGCGAGCACCGTCCGTCAGCCGGCCGGCGAGCGGGCCGAAATTGGAGACGGGACGCCGGCCGCCGGGTCACGACGCCGGCCAAATTTACCGACCTGCATGACAGAACTCATGCAGCGGATGAGCTCTAAGTGCGCCCACGGGACGCGGGCGCACGTATTAATTCGGCGGAGACGCGGCGGCGGCGTAAATCGTGTTAGGGTGAGGGATGCTTCCTGGCTGCGAGGGGCGGTGTGGCCGTGGTGATTGTATTATATACGGGCCATCTACACATAATGGTGAGCGGGGCGTGGTAGTAAACATTTCATGCCGAGACCCAATCACAAAGCACGGTATATTGCTACCCAATTTATTCAGGAGAGATAAGGAGGAATTAATATTCAATCGTTCCGAGTTGCTGCAGTTATGAGAGTCCGCTATAAATGCAGCGGGTTGTAGATATGTATCTAGTAATTAGAATATGCATTTAATTAGCATCCGCTCGCCTATTTCTACTGCTGGCGTGACAAGCGCCAACTCTGCACTATTCATCACCGCGAAATCATAATAGTGGAATCTAGAACGCTTTTGTTTTCATTTGATTTCATTTCATCACGTATTCTGAACCATCTCAGCCTGCTCCATCATGACCCGAATTGAACCGGCTCGTCACGAATTCAGCCCTGTGCCGGCCTTTTTCCGCAAACCACTTGACCTAATCCGTTCAGCGCTGGCCATATGACACTAAATACGGGGAAGCGGACGTGGTACCCATGAGTCTGGACGGCTGACGGTCGGCCCGGTCCGCGACCGACCACTGAGTGTATTCAAAGCGGTGGCAGCGCCGGGGTCCGGGGAAACTGTCTGCCGTGCCGCTCCGTACTGAAACTGCACGCAGCCGCCGCCGCCGGGCACTGATCGATCTTCATAAACCGGCGTACCGCAGCGGAATTTATGAATATGAGAGGCCCGAGTGGGTTAATACGGCGGTGTTTATATGCTGCCGCGGCGCCGGCCGATCATGTAGCTAGACAGCCGCGGAGAATTCCCGACAGCGGGCGCAGAATTCGCCGCCAAACAAACTCAGAATGCAAACATGTACTAGATTAGTTGCCGTAACTTGCGGTTTAGCTTTCCCCTGTGAGAGGCGGAGTGAACTTTATCATGATTTGGTCGTATTACCAGTCAAAGGCAAAGGTGAAGCCAATGCTTTTCTGAAAGCAGACACACATCAATGAATGTAAAAGAGTTTTGCATCTGCGTCTAACCGATAGACTGGTGCTTGTCCCTGTTATGTTCGTGATTCACGGTTCGAGTGAGAGAGAGCTTAAGAGAAACGCGATTTATTTACTGCCGGTGCGAATGGGCCGAGAGAGTCCTCCAACAACTAAACAAGTATGGCCAGCGCCACGCCTAGTCGCCCGCGCCAGTCACGCCGCTTGGCGCGCACGATCAGCTGAGCGCCGGCAGGGGCGCTCCCAGGCACACAGAGGTGGGGCCGCAGAGGCGGTCCAAGTACACACCCCCTATACCCGAACACAACATCCCCCCTCGAGACAACAGTCGTCAAAAACACAAAAACACAACAATGCACGACGTTGTCTCACAGTCACTCCTCATACGAGGTCGCACCCCATTGAACTCGGAGCCGACCAGGAGCGCGGCGCTGCCGTCGAGAACGACGCGGGAGAGCGGCGGCGGCCGTCTCCACCTCGGGTGACCGCACCGGCGACGAGCGGCACACGGCCGGCGCACTAGCGGCGGGTCGGACCGCCCTCTCGGCGGCGACCGCGGTGCGCGCTGGCGGCGGCGGCGGCGGCGGCTGAGGCGCACCCGCAGCGGGCGGGCGCGGGGCGGACGGAGCCACAGGCGGGGTGGGTTCCGTCAGAAGCGGCCGGTATGGGCGCAGGTAGCGGCGGTTACGCCACAGGACCCTGCCACTGGCCGTCTTGACGAGGTACGTGCGCCGCTGACCGACGCCCACGATCACTCCGATCCGGTTCCATCGGCCGGTGGCGGGGTCTTGAAGGTCGACCCGGCTGCCGATCTTGAGCGGTGACAGCCGGCGCGTGCTCTCGTCGTAGCGTCTGACCACCTGCTCCTGGAGCTCGGCAGCCTTTTCTTCACAGACAGCGGCTGCTCGCTGCCACTCAGGAGCGAAGGCGCGGTGGTGCGTGGGAACACCAGAGCGAAGCGGGTGACCGAACAGCACCTGTGCCGGCGACCGTCCGTCTGCTCGGGGCGTGTTACGGAGTTCGAGCAGACTTCGGTCCAGTTGGTCCTGGTCGAGCCGGCCCGATGAGGACGCAGCCAGCACCAGCTTCTTCGCTGTCTTCACGCAGGCCTCCGCGTGCCCGTTAGCGCGCGGGTAGTGCGGTGACGACATCTCATGTCGTACGTCCCAGCGCTGGAGGAACCGGCGGAGCGTGCCTGATGCAAACTGGGGTCCGCCGTCTGACCGGAACACGGTCGGGACGCCCGTCTGCGAGAACATCAGTCGGAGCTGCCGCGTCAGATGGTCCGCCGAGGCCGTGCGGGGACACACTGTGACATACGGCCACCCGGACAGCCGGTCCACGTACACCAGGTACGTGTGTCCTCCAGCGGAGAAGTAGTCGGCCGAGACCGACTCGAAGACGCGTGTCGGTGCGCCGTCCTCCTGCCACATCGGCTCCCGGGCGTGGCTGGGCAGGCGCTGACGGCACTGAGCGCAGGCGGCGACAGTGTCAGCAATCTGCTTGTCGATGCCCGGCCAGTACACACTGAGCCGAGCACGGCGCTTGGTCCTATCAACGCCCTGGTGTGACTCGTGGAGGTTCTCCAGCACACCGCGTCGGAGGGCGGACGGGATGACCAGTCGAGCGCCGTAGACCACCAGTCCGTCGTCGATGGCCAGCTGATGGCGCACGCCCCAGTACGCTCGTACTGCAGGGGGCGTCTCGTGCCGGTTCTCTGGGAATCCGGCCAGGATCAGCTCGCTGAGAGTCTGGTACTCGGTGTCGCGCTCCGCGGCGGCGCGGACTCTCTCCAGTGTGGAGTCGACCAGCGGAGCCAGCTGGGCGCCCTCCTCCGATCGAGCGGAGGCCTGCAGCGCGGCAATGACGCTGGCGTGCAGCGGGTCGTCCTCGGTGTCCATCGCTCCGTCGTCATCAGCGGCGGGGTCGCTGGTGGGCGCTCGCGAGAGCGCGTCTGGGATCACGTGACTCGATCCCTTCTGCCAGCTGGTGGTGAAGCTGTAGGCCAACAACTTCTCTCTCATCCGCTGCAGACGCGGGTTGTCGATCGAGTTGAGCTGCTTGTAGTTTAGGATGGTCACCAGCGGTCGGTGGTCGACCACCAGGTCGAAGTGGGGCATGCCAGCCAGGTAGACATGGCACTTCTTGCAGGCCCAGAGTACAGCAGCCAGCTCCAGCTCGATTACAGCATATCGGCTCTCGGTATCGGTCAGGAACCGTGAACCATACTGGACCACACGCCAGTTCTCTCCGTGCCTCTGGAGCAGTGCAAAACCCAGTCCTCGGGTTTTAGCAGCGTCCGTCTGTAGCACGGTCGGCAGCTGGGGGTCGAAGAATGCCATCACCGGCGGTGACGACAGCACAATCTTGGTGTGCAGAAACGCTGCCTCGTGCTGCTCAGTCCAGCGCCAGACCCGGCGCGACTTGAGGAGGTCTCTGAAGGCCTGAGTCGAGTCAGCCAGCTCCGGTGTGAGGCCGCTCAGCTGATTCACCAGACCCATGAAGGACTGCAGGTCGGTGACGTTCTCCGGTCTCGGGAAATCAGCGATGGCGCGCGCCTTTTCATTGTCGGTGGTGTAGCCGGCCGGGGTGATCTTGTAGCCGCAGAATTTGACCTCATTCTGGGCGAACTTGAACTTCAGCGGGTTCAGCGTGATTCCTCGGTCGTCACAGCGCCGGAGGATTTCGATCACCTGCTGCAGGTGCTGCCGGTACGTCTGTGCCACGGCCAGGATGTCGTCGACAATCTTGACACAGTTTGGGATGTCGCCGAGCGCGGCATCGCCGCGCCGGTTGTACTCGTCTCCAGACGCACTGCATCCCATCGGACAGCGGACGAACTTGAACCTGCCCCACGGCGTGATGAAGCAGGTGAGGTCCTGACTTGACTCAGCGAGCGGCACCTGGAAGTAGCCCATCTTGGCGTCCAGAGTCGACATCCACCGGTGCCCGGCGGGCAGACTCGTCACGGCATCGTGAGGAGACCGGCAGGGGTACGTGGGTCGATTCACGTACCGGTTGAGTCCCGTCAGGTCCACGCAGAGTCGAAACCCGGACGGGTTCTTCGGCACGCACGAAATGGGATGGCACCATTCCGTCGGGTAGTCCACAGGGACGATGACGCCGCGGTCCAGCAGGTCGTCCAGCTGCGCCTTTACCTCGGCACGCCAGGCGAAGGGGATCGGTCTCGCAGCGGTGACCGACGTCGGACACGCGTCGGGCCGGAGTTCGATCGTCATCGGACCGCCGTCCATGACTCGAAGAGTCGAATCTTGCCCGAACACACGCGGGAAACACTCCACCAGAGCGGCTGCATGAGCTGCACGGACCGCCTCCGGTGGGTCTGAGTCGCTGTCCCAGGCCGGCAGCGGACCGCTGAGGCCGGCGGCCGGGCCGGGTCCATCGGCCGGCGGCGCCGGCGCGCCCGTCTCGGTCCCGGTGGCCGGACAGGGCCTGTCACGCGGCGCCTCATACGGGGCCGAGCGGCCGCTGGCGCTACGAGCGGAGCCGGCAGCGGCCGGCGGTGCAGACGGTGTGACGTCATTAGAGGGTGTGACGTCACCAGCGGATGTGACGTCAACAGAGGCCGTGACGTCATCAGCAGGGCGCGGTGCGTCCTCGACGGACCGGATCTGTGCCGGAAAATCCCTCGGCAGAATCCCCAGCGCCACACAGTCGAACCAGCTGAGTAGCAGGCCAGTCAGCTCCCTGATGACGAACACGGCAGCGGTGGTCGATCGGTCGCCCAGCTCCAGAGTAGCCCGGAACGACCCGACACAGGTGAGCGGCTGTTTCCCTACTGCTGAAAATGGCTGGCCGATGCAGGGCTCCAACTGCGCTGGTTCCACGCAGATGGAAGACAGGCTGTCTTCGCCGATGACTGTCGCCTCGGCGCCGGAGTCGGCCCGGGCCGGCACGGTGAACACACCAGCCGGCGTAGACAGTCGGACAGTCACAGTGGGAGTCGGCCGCGTCGAGATGCCGTTCACGTAGACGTCTCTGATGACACGGCAGATGCGCGGCTCTGACGGCTGCCCCACCGCGGGCCGCGCGCGCTCCGGTGCTGCGCGCTCGGCGGGGGCAGCGGCGCTCTCGCGCGCCACCTGGGCGCACACCACTGCAAAGTGGCCGCGCTGGCCACACGAGTTGCAGATGGCGCTAGTAGCGCGGCACGCCGCCGGGTCTGCGTGGGCGGCCCGCCCGCAGCGGCAGCAGCGCGCGCCGGCCGCGCCCGCGGAGCGCCCGCCAGGTTGGGCCGCGGGGCGCGCCTGGGGGCGGCGCACGCCGGCCGTACCCGCGGAACGCCCGCCGGGTTGGGCCGCGGGGCGCGCATCGCGCGACCTTGAACGGCGGTATGCCGACAGACGGCTCACTGACGCCGTCGGTGAGCGGAGGTCGGAGCAGGTAGCCCGGGCGTTCTCTGACGCACGGCAGATGTCCACCGTCTTCTTGAGGTCCAGCCCCGGATCCTCCAACAGACGCTTCACCGTCTCCTCGTCCCGCAGGCCACACACAATCTTGTCACGCAGGCGTGAGTCGTAACAGTGTGTGCAAAAGTCGCAAAATACCGCGAGCTCCTTCACTTCGCACAGAAACTCCTCAAAATTCTCGCCCTGCTCCTGGACACGGGCGTAGAACGCACGGCGGTCGACCAGGACACTGCGCTGCTTACGGAGATGACTCTCCATTGCGTCTACCACCGCGGAGAGGGGAGAGTCGTCCGCTATCGTCAGTCCATAGCGCAGCACCCGGTGCCAATCTTCGTCGAGAAGACTGAGAAGGGCAGCTCTCTGGGCAGTGACGGGCAGCGCGGACGCGCCGGTCAGAAGCATGTACCCGTCCAGCTTCTCCCTCCATACAGCGAAGTCGCGCAGGGATGTGGAGGACGACAGCTGAGGCGCCGGCGTTGCAGCAGCAGGCAGGCGCACGGGCGGGGCGGCAGCCGACGTCCGGGCGGCTGTCGCCGCCGAGGCATCGTCGGCAGCGACGGTAGCGGGTGGCTGTCGGTCGGCGACCAGTCGCTCCACCATCTGAGTGAGCCGCTCCTCGCGCTGCGCTGAGTCTCGCTCCCGCTGCGCCGACAGCTCCGCCTGCTGCAGGAGCAGCTGCGTCAGTTTCTCAATGTCACTCATCGTCACAGATCACGGCGCGCTATACACTAATCACTGATACACTGATACACTGATCACTGCGCGCACGCACGGAACCATCTACTGACCGCGCCATGTTATGTTCGTGATTCACGGTTCGAGTGAGAGAGAGCTTAAGAGAAACGCGATTTATTTACTGCCGGTGCGAATGGGCCGAGAGAGTCCTCCAACAACTAAACAAGTATGGCCAGCGCCACGCCTAGTCGCCCGCGCCAGTCACGCCGCTTGGCGCGCACGATCAGCTGAGCGCCGGCAGGGGCGCTCCCAGGCACACAGAGGTGGGGCCGCAGAGGCGGTCCAAGTACACACCCCCTATACCCGAACACAACAGTCCCTAGCTCCTCTAAGCAGAGTGATCACCTCCCCTCTGGCCCTGTCTTGCAGGCGACTACATCAGTATGTACCAGGTGCAGCGTTCGGCGCTGAAGCAGCAGGCTCTGGAGCGGGAGCAGGAGCTGAACACGCTGAACGAGGACCGCCAGCAGCTGCGACAGCAGCTGGCCCAGCTGCAGCAGCTGGTGTCGCAGCTGATGGGCGGCCAGCAGCCGGCGGCGGGTGCTCCCCCTGCTGTCACGGTCCCGGCGCTGGCGGCCCCGGACAGCGGCACCAGCTCTCCGGCCGAGCCGACCGCGCCGTCCGCTCCGTCCGAGCCGAGCGGGCCGCCCGCCCCGGCCGAGCCGGCGCGCCAGCAGACCGCCCAGCGCATCCTCTCGCTGATCGAACAGATCGGCGCCAGCGAGTACGTGGACGGACACGCGGCGCCGCTGCACGTGTGTCAGCACTGCCGCGGCAAACGGGTGCTGAACGTGTAGTCCGGCCGGCCGCCAGAGACAGAAACACGCTGTGATGATCGCGCAAAGTGTGGATGGTGACCAGAGCCGTCAGTGAGCTCCAGCGATGGTTTGTTTAGCTCCGATGCCATCATGGCGCGAGGTTCTGAACGCTCTGCGGCGAGGCACAGGTCGCAGTGACGTCGGGTGGCCACACGGTGGCGTCTGGTGACCGTGTGGTGACTATGGTGACTATGGTGACTCTGGTGACGTCCTATGACCGTCCGGTGATAAGTGTGCGGTGGATGGTGACCAACGAGCGCATATGCGTGGGCTTACAGTGCAGACATGTGTCGGACTGCCTGAAGAATATGGCCGACAGCGCTGCCCCGTACCCGTAGGACCGAAGAATGAAGAGGCTACGATGCAAAAATATGGATTGCCGTTGTGTGTGTCGAGTCTGCTCGAGAATTATGACAGTATTGGCGTGATGTCGGTTATTTATTTAGGCCTCGGCAGTGAGGTAATTAAGTACATTAGATTTTATGTGATGAGGATTGAGGGAATTCGAGGCAGCCCTGTACATGACGACTGGGCGAGTCGATATGAGACTGCTAAATTCCATCACCGCTTTGTGGTGTGATAGTGCCGGTCACGTGACCACTGACAGGCTGAATTCCGACGTCACGTGATGGTTAAACCAGACTCCGTGTAAAGCCGCGTATATATTATCGTGTGTGATATTCGGGCGGCTAGGCGCCGCTTCAGTGCCTGACGGACTGTGGGACGGAACTGGCTGCGTCCCGGACCTAGAGTGAACGAGTCGCCTCCGCAGCGGGGCAGATATCGCTCGGGAACGGACGACGTCCCCAGAGTGTGTCTAAGGAATCACTGGTTTGTTGGCGTGTTGGGGGGCGGGTCAGCGTCTGTGGGGTGGTTACGTTTGGGATTGTTTTATTGTTTATTTTCCATCACCAAAATACATGGATTTCTTAGTGATATGTTGGAGCGTTTTAGGAAGATTGGCGATCTTTAGGAGGTACTCTGGAACAATTGGAGCGTGGTCGCCTCACAATGGATTATCGGCCGTTGTATCGGAGCTGCCAGCCCACGATACGGCTCGCTACCGAGTGGCCTTTGAAGAAGAGCTTTTGGCTGTCGGTCCGATCGACCTTCCGAGGCCTTCAAATGAAAATAAAAAGGCCCTATTTGACAGTGAACTCGACATGCGACTGTTTCATGACAAATGTATCGGTTAGAACAATACAGGTCACCTTGAAACTCCAAATCAGAATGTGTTAAAATTGTGTCCATGGCGACTGGTTTATATGTGCCCACTAATTCGCATGTGGCGAAGGCAAGAAGTTCAAATACGGTTTCCGTTTTAGCATTGGCCCCAGGAAGGCTTCTGGGATGTTTCATCTCACCCGCATTGTTCTCGTAAACAGGCACTGTATGTGAAGCAGCAGGCATGGTGATCGACCCTGCGATCAGGGACCTGGATGATCCGTCAGAGGGTGTCCGATTTTTGAGCGTGCAGATGCGCTGTTCGCAATCTTCATATATGCATGAGGAGTGCCGAAATAATGCACTGTTTACGCTCGGCTGCGACTGCTGGCGGGTCAGAACCCCTGCGTCTGACAGCCGACGGAGAACAGGCGAGAAGACCAGACAGGGCGGCCGAATCAGAGGTCAGAGGCGCCGAGAGCACCAGCTGGGGAGGCGGTCACCGTTATCTTCGCCACGGTCGCCGGCCGCCGCGGTGCCAGAGAAAATGTTTGTTTGCTTTTTTGTAGATTACAGTGATTGCTTATTTGTCCCGATACGAGTTTTTATATTACTCAAACTGGGTCATGCATGGGTCGATAAAAGCGGAGGAGGATGACAGAAAATAAAACTCGGTAAATGTCTGGAGAAGAAAAAAAATCGACAATGGGCATTCCTTTGCTCGAGCTTTTTCCTGCAGGAATTTCGCCTTCATTCGGGCATTCAGCATAACATCTCCCGGCGTCGCTCAAAGTGAACCCAGCTCAAGTCTGCAATACTGCGTATATTACGACCCGATGTGAAGTGCTTCAGGCTCAGCATCGAGCTTTACATCCTCGATCCGCGGACTGTGATAGTGGGTCCTGACTGCGGATTACGTAGTCCCAGTTGGCATCGTTGTATTGTGGCCCAGCCTACCAGACGTCGGTGTATTGCGGCACATCCTACTAAACATCGGGTGTATTGCGGCACATTCTATCAGACATCGGTGTATTGTGGTACTACAGTCTATCAGACATCGGTGTATTGCGGCACAGTCTACCAGGCATCGGTGTATTGCGGCACAGTCTACCAGACATCGGTGTATTGCGGCACAGCCTACCGTAAGTCGGTGCATTGCGGCACAGCCTAACAAAGAACGCTGCATTTCAACACAGCCTTCCAGACATCGGCGATAAGCAGCACCGTCTTACTCACTTTCTGACGTCACATGTAGACGAGCCCAGCCAAACACGCCGCCACAACCGCGGCCGGCCGTTGCCCGACCTCTCCGGCTCGACCGACGCGTCGACGCGGCGGTGGTCGTCTCGGTCGACGCGTCGGGCCGTCGGCAGTCAGTTGGTCCGCAGCAGCGGAGACGGGAGGACTTGGACGAGCCGGCGGGAGAAGGTGTGACATTGTCGGCTATCGTCGGAACGCGTGATCGGGACCCTAGCATAAAGGGACCTAGGTTGAAGGGACTGACGACCCGGTCAGGGCTGCAGCACATCCCAGTGAAGTTGTGATTTTTCAGTGAACCTGCCTTCACTTTTTACGAGCAGCGATCGGTTGCTGGTCGTAAGTTTTTTTTTTACCGTGGGACGGCGAGAGCGATATGTGACCGACTGGGGCAAGATCGTAAGATCCCGTGATCAGCCAACGCCCCGATCAGTTCTGGCCCGTACCGCTGGCGGTCACTGCCGAGCACCCGACACTCGGCATGATACAGAACCTGTGAGTATGCGTCAAAGTTCTCACGCGATTCGGACTTGGTGACGTGCTATTTTTAGGTATTATGAAAAAAGTATTCCATAGAGTTCCAAAGAAAAGCTTCAATAGATTCCATAGAGTTTATTTCTCATTCCCTGTTTCTTAAATTATAACGTTCTATTCGAGGTATTGCCTATTTTTATGAAAAAAAATCCGTAGATTTCGGAAACAGTAAGGTACAATATACAATGTAGTACCTATGTCAAAATAATGCTACCCTAGTATCCACCGCTCACCATTGGCTGTGGACCAACAACAATTGCCTAGTGTTTTTCGCTCTTTATTCAATAACCGTTTCCTACGAATTCTGTAAATGGAGTCCCGGAGAATAGTCAGCTCCATCCTGAGCTCTGTGTGTGTCCAGCCGTCGCGCTGGGACCCCCCTCCCCCGTCCAGCGCCCCCGGAAACCGGTGGACGGAGACCGATCCGCGGCCGGCGGGTGGTCATTGACCGGTGCCGACTCGGTAAAAACGCCACCAGTCTCGGCGAGCCCACACATCCATCGCGGCTGTCGGCTATTTCAGGCAGGCCGCGGAACGTCTTCAGCTCACTTTGAGTCGTCCGCACACCGCGCCGGTGCTGCCAGACCAGCCCGCCTCTGTCTACTGATTGATCGAGACAAACCAAACTCGTAAAGATGGCCGGGAACCTAGTTTAAGATCCAGTCATGTCTGGCAGTTTCCATGTTCTTGAAACCAAGCTCACTTGAGATTCTTGGGAGTAACACTCTTAGCAAATGAAGTGACCTCACACGAGGCCGCCGGCTGAAAGTTCTTCAGAGCACACAATCGCCGCAGCAGGATGGCCCCGAATATCAAAAGGAAAACCCTTATGCCACGACGTGCATTGCAATCGGCGCATCCAGATCCAACAGACTGAACTGAACCTGCAGTCGTGACGGCGTCAGCTGCACAGTCAAAGAGCCTACCAAACCCTGCTCAGCATAACCGAAATAGCTGATATTCAACGTCTAGTTTATTGCTGAGGGATTAGGCTTTAACCGCAAAATTTCCAAAGGTCACTCTTGCTATTTGAGCCTGGGTTATCGAATGCTTATTGATGAGCGTAGCCGCATATGCATTCGTTGAGTGATTTGGTTTGGACCAATTAAAGCAAATTAGTAAAATGATGCTAATAAATGATTCGTCCGCCGACACATGTGCCTATTATAACTGCAGTCTTTACGCCAACGCCTGTAGGTAATTGAAATGCCTGCAATAGGTACAAGAGTTTATTTGGCTGCTGTCGTATTCTGAGTTATAACCCCACGTTGATATTTTTTTTTAGTTGTATGCAAACTGGCACGCTAGTGTATTCCAACTACTTATGAAACTTTGTTGCATTGCATGCAGTGAAAGTGTGATCAGTTATCATCTTCTTAATTGTGAAAATACCTATCCGTTTTTTTAATAACCATAGAGCGATTGCATCATAGAGCTACCTACAACATTTCACATTTCTAAAGAATATCAAATGACTGGACGATGAACGTTCACATCCGTCACCACCAATCACACTTATCCCCGCCAACAACGTTTCATGAGAGTGGGAAATATGTAATGAGCAATGAGCATGTGTTGTGTCAGTTATTCCCGCAAATTAGTTTGACCCGAAGCTCTGATGGACAACATCAAATAATAGGTGACCATCTCGTTTTTCGGCCTCTCGTCTCCGATTGGGCGGCTTTATGGCCGCATGATCTAACAATATAGCCGTTGTATATTATGGATATCATTATGGCCGTGCACGGCCTTAGGCGTTGCCGGTCGATGCACGCGTCACTGCTCTACTATTGGTGACGGCTGGCAGGCACGGGACAGAGACCAGGCCGGAGCGAGCGATGGAATACCAAAGGCTGAGGATAATAAGTTTCGGAGGCCGATAAACGAGTGAAAAAATGCAGGTTTATATTTGAGCATTGCTGTCAATCTGTTATGCTTGCAATGACATAAACGCATAAAGCGTCTATTGTGTGTTATCCATGACAGATATATATAAAAAAACGACAATATATTCAAATACACGATTAAAAACAGAGCTTTCGGTAACAAATACCTTGATCACTTTGTCAAGGCACACACAGTGATCAAGGTATTTGTTACCGAAAGCTCTGTTTTTAATCGTGTATTTGAATATATTGTCGTTTTTTATATATATAAAGCGTCTAATTTTAGGCGCCCTGGTTAATTATGTAGTTCTAGCCACTATAGCCATTAGCCAGGGCTCTTAGAGACAAGCCGAGTTCACACGAAAGGGAAGGCACTGCACGATTCCCGGGTGGTTAGACTAACCCGCTCAACACGAACGCCGAGAGGTTAGACTGACCCGCTCAGCACGTCACACAAGCTAGCGCGGCGTGCGCGACGGACGGCTACTGCTATAGGCCAAAAAGAAACATATTTAGGAAGGCGGACAGACCACAACTGCTATGAATTGTGCTAAATCAGGCATCAGCGCTAAAGTGATGACCCTAGTTTGTTGTAGGTATAAACCAATCATGAGGTTGCTGATAACTATAATTAAAGACTAGAAAACAAAACAAAAAAACATTTTCATAGAAGAAAACAAACGGAACCTGCGACTACGCGAAACGTATATATATCAAGCTGACGGTAATGAAATTGAAATTGGCGAAAAAGTGTTACGTGCCGGCTGTGATTCTGAGCCCGTAACTGTCACACTTTTTTACGATACCTATACCTAATGGCTTGTTTTTCGTCCTTCCGAAGTTCACGGCAGCCTCCGTCTAACAGACTTTTGAAAGGTAAAGGACAAACAGGCTCGTCAATCGCATTCGCCCTGTCGTAACTAAGGGTAGGAAATATAACGTTATGTTTTGGGCGCACTGAGGTGGCATCATCACCACCAGACACTAACAAAATAGCATATCATGCTTTTCTGTCGTGTTTACTTAGGTGTTTATGATATACGTGCTTTATTTTATCGTCTTTCCAAAGCTAAACTAATAAAAGATTATATCAAAGTGCCCACAAATTAATATGCGTACCGACCAAAATATTAAGTTTTAACTCATTAGTCTTAGCATTCGTATCCCTGACTTAATGATCCCCACCCCAACCCCAATGATCCGCCCCACGTCTGCAATGGTCTTGTGATCACCTATTGGCTGACCATTCTGCGCCCGAATCCCGATGAACCTCTCCAGGAAATGGCAGCCTGGTGACGGTCGGTTCCGGCCCCTGGCGCCCAGCCAGGAAGCTGATAATCGTATCGATATCGCCAAAACGTAATGGAAAACATCACATCCAGTCATCGGTACCTCGGCTGGCTGCCGATCCGCATGCTGACCAAGATATATGCGTCCAGCGCAATGAGCGAGGCAGATATCAAGGAAATGACAGTGGCCCGCCGAGAGACCAACCATCAGGCGGAACAATGCCTACAATGTCGGATAATCAACAAATAATGCCGGAACAATACCTACATCGCATCGGGCGCAGACCGACACCCGAGTGCGCCCAGTGCAACGACATTACATGTCCAGCGGGCCGTTGTCTCGTCTGTGGCGAGGCCGCGGACACCCCGGCGCACGTCCTGCTGGAGTGCCCATGCCTATTCGGCCCCCACGTCCGTGCGCTGGGTAATATCGTAGGCACGGCCCGAGACGTCCAGCGCGACGACGTGGTGGCGGCTTTGGCTGCCGGCTACGCGGCCCACAAGAGCCGCGTGGCTACGTCACCGCCTCGGCGGTGACCGGGAGGAGTAACAACAACAACAACAACAACAACAACCATCAGGCGTCAGCACGTCAACAGAAGCAGTGGGCGAGGTCGTTTCATGACGTCTGTTTGCTGCACGTTGCAGGTGATGCAGCATGATGGACAGCCAGAACCACAGCGTCGCCTGGGCGTCGCCGCCGACCTCCGCGCCGCTGCCGGCGACCCCCGCACCGGCGCCGACCATCATCGTTTACCCTACAGGTAACTCATGTTATATTCTGCTCACTACCTATAATAGGCGTAAGTTAACGAAAAACGCCCATCCAGGACATAAGCGAGAGTTGGTTTGCAGGTGAATGTGACCAAATGACCACTGGAAAAGCGTTCATGTATGTATGATTACGAATATGGCTACATGCCATGTGCTCATTAATGTATCTGTCATGGACTACTGCAGCTCCAGATTGCATTCAGCTCCGAGTGCGCTGTGGTTGGCCGGCAGCCGGCACAGCCCGGTACCCGATCCCAGGCCCCAGGTGCAGGATCTCAGATAGCCCGCCTACACTTCTGAGTAGTGACACCGTATCTTACGGCGCACTAATTGCAGGCTGCATTTACATCAAACCTTCCCCGACCAGCGGAAATTGGACTCTCTTAGAATTTATAGCACCAAATGGTTTGTTGAAATAAAGTTATGGGAAGGAAGAAGTTTTGCTCGAATGTTTATGGGCTGCGCTAAGAAAATAAACTAGTCGACACATCCGCATCATTTAATATTATTGGACATGTTTGATAAATGTGTCCGTAATCGCATAAATGGAGTCTGTGGGCACCGGGCATTGCAACATGCATGAGAGCAGATTGCCTTTAAAGCTGTCGTAACTCTTTCGATTTATCAATCCACGGGACATGAGGTAATTTGTCGGGTATTCTAAACAAAGTTGTTTCACTGTCGAGTTCGAAAGCCAATGAAAATCTGTTTTGTATTGTGGCGATTTTTCAACGGTCTCGGCAGGCGGATGCATCATTCATCACCTGGTGTCGGCTTGTTGACGTGCAGGGCCGTGCATCGGGGCCGTAATGAATGGATAGGCGCGGGGCTCGGTGGGGAGACGGATGGGGAGGGTGAGAGGCCGCCGTGGCCACCAACGGGTTGTGTGGAGCGGTCGGACAGCGGCCGCCGCCCCTCGCCCTTCTGCCGCTGACACCGGCGGCTGGGAAATCAATCACTGACTTACCGATGATCTGTGGCTCCTCTGAGACTGACTTACCGATGATTGGTGATTCCTCTGAGATGGCGGAGGCGTTCAGCACTTCAGCCTGGAGCTGTGATTTATGCATGGTATAGAAATTAGAGATACGTATATGTATTGTAATAATAAAATAAATATGCTTTTGCTAGAACTGAATTATATTACGGGTACGTGTGTCACGATGCAGATGAAGCTTCCTACGAACCAGCCACTCCCCTTGGTTCTCATGTTTGGTTGTATGTACTCTCTCGCGGGTGCTGTGTGCGTGTAACTAACACCCCGTCCGTTTTCAGTGTCTCCAGAAACGGTCATCATCCCCATTATCTCCAGTATCGTGGTGTTCCCGGCGGCTGCGTTCACAGTCATCTGTTGTCTGCGGTACCGGGCCAAACGGGCACGGCGCAGAGCCAAGCAGCCCAGGTGGGTGACCGGCTGGACGCTGACGTGCTGATGGGTGAAACAATTAACCGCTTCTCACCGCAAGAGCCTGAATGAAGGGGTAGGCCATCCGCAATACACTATAATCTGACTAGAGGTAGGCCACCCGTAATACACTGTTATATGACTCATGACTGGGGAGATAGGCCACCAGCAATACACTGTAATATGATTGGGGAGATAGGCCACCAGCAATACACTAATATGGCTGGGGAGGTAGGCCACCCGCAATACACTGTAGTATATACTACAGTATATGTAGTATATGTAGTATATACTACAGTGTATTGCGGGTGGCCTACCTCCCCAGCCATATTAGTGTATTGCTGGTGGCCTATCTCCCCAATCATATTACAGTGTATTGCTGGTGACCCGCAATGCACTGTAACATGACTGGGGAGGTAGGCCACCCGCAATACACTGAAGTATGACTGGAGAGGTAGGCCACCCGCAATACACTGAAGTATGACTGGAGAGGTAGGCCACCCGCAATACACTGAAGAATGACTGGAGAGGTAGGCCACCCGCAATACACTGTTACACACTAGTTATACTGGGGAGGAAGGCCACCAGCAATACACTGTAGTATGACTGGAGAGATAGGCCACCCGCAATACACTGAAGTATGACTGGAGAGGTAGGCCACCCGCAATACACTTTTGCACACTAATAGGACTGGAGAAATAGGTAGGCCACACGCAAAATACACTGTACAAACTCGGCAGTCCGCCTGGAAAGGTAGGCAGCCCGCAATACACTGTTACAAGTTACAACTTGTTATCACCAATTCCTCTTGTTGTCTTGTTGCCTTTTAAATCGGCCATTGGACTTCAACCGACCGGTGTACCGTTCAGCACAGGTATGTAACGTGCGCACTGCGCAGAGCACATTGCACACTTACCCGGATTAAATGCGTCCGTTTGCTTCGTGTTTCCACAGACTGGGAGACCGATCAGACCGAAACGTGCCCGTGATCAGGATCGACGGATCCCGGAAACCAGAGACCGGTGAGGAACGCCCGCCACATGAGTAGCGGACACATGGAGGGCTGAGATCACAGCTCACAGGAGCTGAAATAATTGTAAACACGCGCAGTTGGTTACCGATAATACGGTTGTTTTTTGAAGTCCAAAAATGTTTAGAAAAGTAATGGAACCATAATTATGCTTACGACTCGGTCATCGGTGAATAGGCGAGCGGCGAGGCGTTTGTGATATTTACTCACAACATCTGCGCGTTTCAATCTACATATTTACCTATTGAATGAGTAGGTAACTGCACCTGTCACCCACAACTTTTGACAAATGAGTTTTCTTTTCAGGAGTAAAAGGAGGAAAGCCAAAGAAGCGCGACTCCCATCACACCAACGAGCTTCATTATACTAGTGCCACAGTGTGAGTTATTTACGGGTTTCTGCACTATGCAAACCACCCTTCAGCTGGCGCTTATTCCCACTGCTATGGTTTGTGAATGGATCTGTCACTCTCGGTCATCTCCTGTATCGCACTGCTCCCAGGGGTCGCCCAGCAGCCTCTCTCTACCCTCATTAAACCGGCAGACCTATGGATCCAGTAAACCGGTTTCCCCGATTTTTTATGTGGATCCACACTGATAAGACAGCTCTCGACTGGCGACCTGTGTCTATCGTGTGGGCATGCCAGCTGTATTCTGTTGATCGGAAATTGCATCCCTCGTCATCGGCCGGTGCTTTATAATTGTCCTGAGCCTGCCGGGCGGGTGGCGGTGGGTGGCGGTGGAGGCAGCGGCGGTGGTCCGGGTGGGGCCGTCTGATGGAGGAGGTGGCGCGAGCGGACGGTGCGGCGCCGGCGCCGGCTGCAGCCCGTTCCCATTCTCTTGTGTCGCCGGTGACAGCTCGTGGCCGACAGCCGGTGCTTGAATTAGATTGCGTCGCTCTTCATTTTGCCAATTTATCCGGCTCGATAGAGACCACCGGCGTCGGCCCGTCAGCAGGCGCGATGCCGCCAGCGTCCGACGAATAAAATGGGCCCGGACGAGTGAGGGCGTGCTCTGGCCGGTCCGCAGGGCGCCGTCGGACAGGAGAGATACGACAGGCCCGGCGGGGTAGTCGATTCAGGCAGGTTAACTAGACGCGGTGTTAGTGGGTCCCGATTGACAGAGACTTCTTCTGATCATAGTCCCCTCGCGTAAACAAACTTTATTGTTCCTAGCATTTCCTTTGGTAATGGTATATTCAAGATAATACAGCCTTTGGTAAGGAGCAAAAGCCAGAGCCAGAATATTTATTTCGTGGGGAGGCAAAATTATATTTTGGTAGGCAAATGAACCATCCGCCAGATAAACGGAGTTGTTTATTGGAAACTCGTGTCAGTGACTGATGTGACCGACTTTCCGTCCATTTTTGGGCTTGCAGAAGGGGCCCCACTCAGCTTATGTGGGACAGAGACAGCAGTGCCAGTGACAGATGGCGAGCATTTCGAATAAACAGGCCCTGATGACAGCACATTTCCCCGGCACGGCCGCGCAGCTCTACTCATTGTCTGAAACGTCCGGACGATCTGTTTTCGACCTACATTTGTTTCCCGGCTGACGATATCATATTTTGTCCTACTCCAACCATTCCTTGTTTCGAAAGCCGCTATTTTTACTATTGCCTGAATGCAATGAAACTCAAAACACAATGTGACATGCTGTTACGTTTGAGTACCTACTGTATTCCAAGTTGGTGATGTTTTTGTAAGTTATGGTGCAATATGCATGCTCTGCTAAATTATGAGTCGGTAAAGCAGGCAGATGCACCTTGAATATTTGCGTATACGTGCGATTTACAGTGCTTTAGTAGGTCATTCATCTCAATCATCATATATCTACATTTACTTTTCACTTTTCAGCGTTAATTGCGTTCATTACAATGCAACAGGTGAAGCGCGAAAATATAGTCAGACAGTACCAATAGTTACCGACCACACGTTACTCATCAGGTAAGTATACTAAAAAAAAACACCGTTACATGCTCAGCTATGCTTCTTTGGTATCTCGTATACCGAACACAGCTATTCTTATAATGAATCGTGCTTCTGTTGCAGTTTCCAGGCGGTGTTGGGCATTGACCTGGACCTGGACGAACGGTCCGAGTGGGAGAACGAGGTGATGGGCTACACCAGCGTCCGGGGCATGTCGTCACCCACCAGCAGCATGGGCAGCCTCCAGGTAACTGATGCACAACACACACAGCCGCTGGACACGCTGCAGTGTCTCTCGGCAGTGAGAGTCGGGACAGGTCCCCGCTAGATGTCAGTGTTATTCAGTGACCTACGACGTCTCTGCCACAGGGGTGCCCAGCACACAACTCCGTTCAGCCGCGTATCATTCAGATGGAGATGTCACCACGCGCCGCCCGATCGACCCGCTCCAGTCCCGGCCGCGGCCCTGACCTGCCGCCAGCACACGTGACTGCCGCCACTGACCTCTGGCGGCGACCTCTGGAACCTCTGCAGAGGAACGGCCGGCCACCTGGCACGCTGGCCGAGCTGCCGCGCCGGGCCAGTGACGGGGCAGAGGACTTCGGGAGGAAGTGGAACGGTCACGGGCCACCTGACCTGCTGCAGCTCCGGCGGCTCGGCGGAACTCAGGCGGCGGGTAGTGACAGGAACGGCACTGTGCTCGGCGAGCGTGCTACTCCAGTTCCACCGACTCCGCCCCAGGGAGAGAAGAAACGGGAGGATGAGAGAGAGAACGAAGGTGAAAAACAAGAGAACGGAAGTGAAGAGCGAGAGAACCAAATAGAGGAGCAAGAGGACCAGAGTAATGAGAAGGACCAGAGTGATGAGTTGAAGGACCAGAGTGATGAACTAGAGGACCAGAGTGAACGAGAGTATGAAAGTAAAGAGCGAAATGACTCGAACGAGGTGCGAGAGGAGCAAAGTGCTAAGCGAGATGAGGAAAATGAGGAGCGAGAGGACCATGGTGAGGAGCGCAGTGAGGTAGAGGACTCCTGGCGCGAGTCCCTGAGGTTCATAGACGATTCTAGCGAGGCTAGCTAGCAAACCAGGCTGATCATTCGGAAGGACGCTCGTATGGTAGCGCGTTTTGCTACCATTGAATGCATGGTTTCGATTCGATGGCTAGGAAACATTGTCAGAAAGTGAAATGAAGGAATTACTTGCTGATAAGTTTAGCGATCAGAACGGAACATGGTATACATGTCGTGTAAAGTTCACGGAAAGTTGCCTCTTAGTCACCATTCTCCAAATCCGATATTTTGGACAAGCTTACGTCATGCTGGGAGGCCCGTTATGATATTATGTTCGGATGTTTTAGATACTCTGGTGTCAAAAACAGCCATTTTAACCGTCGAGAATAGTCGGTGGAGGGTGCGATGCATTTATCATAAAAACGGTCTGTGAAGGACTTCGTAGGGATCATGAAGCTACAAGGACACTGGCCCCAACGACCGTCTCAAAATGGTGAAGCCGCTGTTAGCTTCGTTTGGGACGCCACATCAGCATCAAATGTATAATTGTTCGTATATGATGTGTGCTTATAATGGACATAAATGCCATATTCGTGGCTCGCTTTCTTCCGTGCTGGAACCTTGTCTTTTGGTTTGTTTCACCTCATTATTAGGGTCTTCAAAATCAGTGTGCCTATAGAGAGTAATCGCAAACATTTGAAGTCATTTAGCTGAACAATACATCATTTTGCACTGTGAACTTAATATCTGGTCGTCGTGAGCTACTAAGGGACATGTTTTCGAGAGCAGGCGTGTACAATTAAAGATGTCCTTTCTGTTTCATACTTGTCTTTACGTAAAAGCATTGCCACAAGAGCCGCTGAAGACACCGTTTTAACACCAACGAGGTAAGATAAACGTAAACGATGAACTATTGGACGTGCAAGCCATGAAGCCACCCTTACAACAGCACGGTGGTTTAATGTTCATCTGCTAAATTCACTCAATGTTCATCTTGATTCAAATTAAGCATTTAATCGTTTATCGTCCCTAATGATAACAGCAGCAAATTCTCACCACACATAGCACAGCACATTACAGCTATACTGCTGTGCCGCATTATTGCTGTGGTCAAACGCTGGATAGTGAATATATTCGGAAATATGACATGAGAAACTACCAGATACTTGTAACCAATTAGTATATCGCACATTTGTGCCATTGGTAGGTACATATATTATTTTATAATAAGACGTCTAATTGATAAAACAGCGTGACGTGCATGAATTTAACATAGCAATCACGAGACCGAGTTATTTATTCAACATAAGAATCACGAGACCGAATCACAGTCAAATTGTGACGCAAGTCCTACCCGTTGACCGTTGGCAGAGGCTGGTTTTGTGACGCCTCAAGCTCAGACCCACCTACGTTATCAGGCCGTTGAATACCAGACGTGGAGGGCGGATGGCGCTGCCAAGCTCGCAAATGTTTGGACGCCAACAAAACACAGGGCCACCTGCTCCGGCCGCTACTGAATGGCCGTGTTGATTATAAACTTTGGCGATTTCAAACCACTGCCTGATAAATAAGGTTGCTCCTGAATGCAAGGGGTGGTTAGTGGTTACAGCTTCCTGACCGCAGCTGCTCCAGCAGCCATCGCACTATATCTGAATTCCGATGTCTCTCTCCCGGTGCAAGCCATTTCGTGCGTCCTTCTGGTCTGTGACGTCAGGTTGATATCTCTGGTGTCTGACAGTGGCAGCTAATTTCAGTCAGGTTAGGCACTGTTGAAATCAAAGGACGCGGTCAGAGTGGTGCGCCATTCGTGACGTTGATTCTTATACATTTGTTACGAAACATTATGTATATAATACAATGCCTACATAGCGACACCACAACGGTTATTGTCACAGAAAGGAAGCCCCAATTAGTGTATTTGACAAAAGAGCAAATAGACAAGTACCTACAACCTGCACATCCTTTGACCAAATTAGTGACGGTAGGCATCTATTTTATCCACGACATGTTCGCTGATCTTTGGTGAGATCATCCTAACAATTCATCGACACAGACTGTGCACACTGCTTGCATGACCCATTTTACCATACTAGCATCTGAATAATGTTCCATGAAAATACATGCATAAAATTTTTGCATCTTAGAATAAATAATCCATGAGCTATAACGGCTCCTTCTGATCTACTGTATATTGACACGTCAAGCTGGCTACCAAACAAAAACAAAACGTTACCCAGCAATGGGTAAGCTGTGAACGATCGGGTTGACATGGGACAATAATAAACAACTCGGCATGCAATAAACAGAGATATGAAAACGGCATTCTCTTATCTACGTTTAAGTAGCATCAGCTGGTTTAGGCAGAAATAACTTTGTTTTAACTACCGTAATATCCGAAACGTGCGGACCTTCTCAAAACTTCGGTTCTAAGGCCTCAATTGAGGCACCTATAGCTTTTAGGTATGCTTCCTAGAAGACTTTATTGATTTCCTATATATTTTTTTACGCAAAATGCAAATTGACTTGAATCGATATTAAGACATGGTTAGCCGGAACATGCCAAAATAGTAATATGTAAATACCTTATAACGACTAACAAGGGTGAGGTAAAAACGACTGAAAGAGCATCAAAATCATTGACTACAATAATTGGTCTATAACTCTGAGACGCCATCTGATTTCGCGGATCTAGCTTCTATAGCGTCGCCGGCGTCTATTAAATTCTCCTTTGCGTCGAATTCGCCAACGAAATAAAAGTCTGGAATAACGATATCCTGCAGCGGAAACTTTTTGTCTGGTTGCGCGCTGAAAAAGCCACCTCCGAAGGCCAAATCGATGTCTTCCAGACCCAGGTTTTCCTGGTCACCCAGTATGCTGCTGGGCTCGAATGGGAACTGGTCCAGCAGGGAGACGGCCGCGCCGACCGAGTCGGAGCTCCACAGCACAGCTCCGTCCGCCGTGTGGTCCAGCTCCATCTCAACTCCGTCCAGTGAGTGGTCCAGCTCCATCTCAACTCCCTGCTCCTCCTGCTTCGCGCTGATGTCGCCATAGGTCACTGCGTGAGGTGCTGGCAGCACAGACACGCCACCTCGCTGACTGTCAGCGGCGCCATCAGCCGCTGAGCTGATGTTAGAGCCCGTCTGCTGCTGGTGGTCCCTTCTGGGCCGCGGCCATACGTCCGGCTGCGGCTGCAGCGGCAGCGGAGACGGCGCCGGTGGCGGTGACTCCGTCGTCTGGGGAGCCTCGGTAGAGGTGACATTTTCACTCTCCGGGGTCTCCAGTGCCACTCCCGATGGTCGCGCCGTCGGCAGTGGCACTCCCGTCAGGGCTGCCACCATGGCCAGCGCGCGCTGCATGGCTGCGCTGTCCGTGCTGCTCGCTCGGCGTCTCCTCCTGGCCCTGCGGAGCTGCGGCCGGGCGGTGCCGCGGTGCCACACCTCTACCCCGTCCGGCTCGCCAACCGTGGCGGCCGACACCATCCGCGCTGCCATCGTCCGCTCCAGCACGTCCAGGACGGGCCACATGAGGCCGCGCGGCGAGTCGGAGATGTCAGAGTCGGACAGCGGGAACTCCGGGACGGCGGCGTGACTGACGGAGGCTCCTGGCAGTCGGGGACGCGCTGTTGAGAGGTTGGGAGCCTGGTGATCAGGCCGAGCTGTGGATGGTGATAAATTTATAGCTGGATGTCGAGGTTCGCGAAGTGCCACATGGCCCGCCGATGACCGCGGAGAGTTCGGTCGCCATCCATCGTCTTCAAACGCGGCCGGGCTGGACGAGGGTGGCTCTGGGGCGGACGTTCGGTGCCAGTGGTCTCGGTGGTACTCCGGCACAGCGACGTCGTTCACAGAACTGTCACCAAAGTCGGATGGGTTGTAGCCACACCCTGCCGCTGTTGCCGAGGACCGTCCATATTGATCACACGGGTCAGACGGAGGCCTGTACTGGTAGCCGACTTCATTGTTCGTTGGAGGATCATAGTGATAGCCCGTGTCGACAGCGGTTCGCGAGTCGTGCTGGTTTCCGCCATCGATAGAACCTGGAGAGCTGTAACCGTACCCAGCATCAGCAGTTGAAGGAGAGTTATTCTGATAGCCGCTGTCGGCACCGGGTGTGAAGCCGTACCGGTCACGATTGTCAGCGGTGACGGACGGGTCATTTCCGTACTCAGAGTCCGAATAAGCCACTGACGGGTCATTTCCGTACGAGTCCGGATAGTATAGAGGACCGTTTTCATAGCCAGGTTCAGAACCAGGGGGTGGATCGTAATGATACCTTGTGCCACCAGTCTGACCATCAGAATCGGGAGATACAACTATAATTTCCGACGTTGCAGCGTATGCGGGTCCTAATCCGCTCGGAGTTGCAGCTGCCAGCTGCACCGATTGCACACCAGGCTTCCTAGTGACATCACCCAGAGACCTGACCTCGGTCAGGTGGCCTTGGACCCCGTGTCTCTGCCCGGACAGCTCTGTCGGTTCCTGAGCTCCGCCGAAGCCGCCGCTCGGCCGGCCGTCTCCGGGCCGGATATTGCCAGCCGGCGTCGATTCATTGGCGGCACTCGAGGATGGATTGTTTCGCGGGAGCTCGAGGCCGGCCTGCGAGCCGTCGCGATACGAGGGGTGCACACCGACACCGGTGCCGACACCCGGCCGAAAAGTTGGACGGCCAATATCGCCTCCGCTATTGTGAGCGCGCGGAGCCGTAAAAATGATGTCTCCCGTTAGTTTCCTGTTGCTGTTCTCGGCTGTCAAGTCCGTAATGGCCACTTGAAAGTGCTCTGGAGCTGTGTATCCAGGATTCTTATTGAGCGTCTCATATTCGTAGTTTTGAATCTGATTCGGACTTCGATAATCGAAACTATTTATGGACTTTGGTGTTCCATAACTATAGCCTGCAGTCCCATCATCTCGAGTTTCCGTGTAATGCTCTCGAGTTTGACCAGGCGTTTCATAGTGATAGCCCTGTGAGTGTTCCGCCGGCTGGGTATGGTGTCTCTGACCGTTCGCCGGGGCCGCGTGTGGGCGGTGGCCGGCCTGCCGACCGGCCGGCGCGGGCCCGCTCCCGGGGCGGACCGCGGCCGGCACCGTGACAGAGGACGCCGCCCGCTGAGCCGGCAGCTGATCGACCCCAGAACGACTCGGAAACCGAGCGCCGTCAGCGCGGCCACCGCCGGATCCATCGCTGTCGCCCGGACCGCGCCGGCGATCGCGGTCGCTGGCGGCGAACCCTAACGGCCGCTCCGCCCCCAGATTGGCCGCTCCCCGCGCGGGCTCGATGGTTCCGAGGTGCCTCTGTCGCCCACCGGATGATATCGCCGGCTGAGGGCGCCCATGATCCGGATACTTGTTTCTGCCGTAGTCCGGCCTCTGGTCGTGACCTCGCTGACGTTGGCCATGTGCCCGCCCCTCCTGCGCCGGTCGCTCTCTCCCCACGCTCCCTCCCTCTCCAGGTCCTCCTCTCGTCTCTACCACCCGGGTCGACCGTCCACCAATCTCTGAGAACTGCACCAGGAACGCGGACGCGCTGAGCCGCGGTGCCGGCGGGTGGAGCGGGGTGTCGGGCGCGCGGGCCAGCCCCACCAGTACGTGTGCCGGTC